AATCCACTATAACAATATCATTTTCATTTTTATCGGTATCAGTAGTGATTGTAAGTATATCATCGAATTCATCACTAAGAATTGTACTTTTAGAGTCGCGGCCATTACCGCCCCGTACTCCAGCATAATCATTAAATAGATCTGGACTTAGTAAACTGTTTTGTTCACTCATTGTATTGACACCACTAGTTCCGTATCGAGGTGGTTGTATCATTAAATTATTAATACTTGTGCGTTTCTTTAATGGTGATGGAAGATGACGCGACTGCTTTTCTAATGTGCTTCGAAAATCTTGACCTATAACCAAGCTGCATGTACTGCTGCATGTATTTACCGAATTCTTTAACTTTGGTTGCGATTGGGAGTTTGTAGAATTTATTGAATCAGATTTTACTGATGACGATAATGATATGGGTGCTAAATTACAAAATAAAAAATGTTAATAAGTTTTTTTTTTTTGTTGACTACTAATAAACAACTATCCTTAAATATTAGTTACTTACCTATGTCATTGTCAGGTGTATGAATTTCTTTATTTTCCTGTTGCTTAGAGCTCTTCTTTGAAGATTTTTGCAAAGGAGTGCTTGCGTTTGACTCTTTAAATCCACGAAAAAAATTAGAAAAAGTTTTTGCAATTGGAACCGATATAAATGCGTTACGCAATTGATTGTGTTCTGGTTGTGCTATTGGTGTATTTTTTTCTGCGAAATTTAAATATTTATTTTGACCATCTTCAATAAATGAATTCTTTTCATACGAAACCCCGGTGTGCTCGAAAACTGTGCTTTCACAATTTATAATAAATTTATTTCGAAATTGCTTAGTTTCTACTTGAACTTCTGTTGCACTTGCAGCTTCAATTGCAGTTGTTAAAACATCATCCTTATCAAACTCTTCTTGTCGCTGAATACTTCTTACCACAGATTCAGTTTCTTCTTCATTTTTTAGAACCAAAAGATCGACATTCATATTTTTGCGACGTAACTGTTCATCAACGTTATGTACAAACTTCTTAGTAGTTTGATTTTGTTTTGATCCATCTAGACTTTTACTAAGAAAAGGTTTTGCTTTTAATGGTGGTGATTCTGAAGGATATTTGCATAGTTCTTTCCTCATCAATTCAGCAGACGCTTGTTGTTCCATTTCAGGCAAGCATTCAACTACTGCTTGCAAATCTTCGGACCCTTCAGGAACACCTCTTTCCGGCAAAGGCATAGTAAATATGCTCTTAAGAGAACCGAATATCATTTTACTACTATTATCAAGTAGCATGTTCATGTCATGAACGTTGAATTTTTTAACTTTTGAATTAATATCTTGTTCATATATAAAATTTGTGTTCGTCTTTTTTAAACAGCTTGATTTCGGCTTCTTTTCCTTATTCCATACAGATTTTTTAGAACTCTCATTAATATTATCAATATTTGGTTCAGAAAAATAGCAATTATCACCTATAGTATGAAAAATTAAAAATTAAAAATATAAAATAATAATAATACATCAACATTTATTACTAACTCACCAATTAAATTATTGTTTGCATTACTTATACCAATGCAATCGCAAGAACTACTTTTAGCTTGTGCATACTCTTGCCGGTTTGAGTTTTTATCATTTTCTTCCGAATCAAGACTAGAATTAGAACTAGAACAAGAGCATCTGTATAAATGATGAGTCTCAGCACCAGAACCTTTAATGCTACTGCCATCTCTTTGTGGCTGATACTCAAAAACTCCGGAATTATCATATTGTAAGCAATGGCTTTCATTAGTATCATAAACATCTGAATTACCATAATCTAAAACATCTGAACAAGCATTACGATATACAACACGACGCCTGCGTCTACTATCGCAATCTTCTTCACCCTGCAACTGAGCACATAATTCAGTCGGAACCTCACTTCTGCCATCTCCCTCTGAGCACCAAGAATAACGTCCTGCTACACCAGTTTTTGGTAGTAACTTCCGCCCATTTTTATATGTTATAAATCCATGTTCAATGTGAATATTATCAGTGCGCGTATTTTTTAGTATATCCTCATGAAAAGAAACACGTTTCTTGGGCACTTTTGGACCTGATTGAGTCTTGCGAACTTTACGTCTATAAACAATATTTTCTGTTGTATCAAAAGTTGAGCATGTACTTGTTGTCATAGCTTCCTCTATATTTGATGTACATTTAGTTACATTTGAATTCGTATCTACAGTCTCTATTGCAGCTACTTGTATCAATCCATTCAGTTCATTTGAAGAAGCCATTGCAGAATATGATGTCAATTCCTTAACAGGATTTTGTGCCTTAATATCATCAAAATCAAAGCCAGTTTGTGATGTTATTGATTCAATCATAAATTCACTTGACTCAGAATCAAGCATTTGCACACCTGAATCACTTGGAGTTGTATCTTCCAATGTACTATTTACGCTGGATATCATGTTTTGTCCGTTATCTTGTTTACTTGATCGATTATCTAAAATATTTTCATTTAAACTGGCAACCAATGGTGACTCCATTATTACATCATAACTAGAAGATGATCTCTCTGTGTGTGATTTGAAATGTTTAATTTATACAAAAATTCAAAAAAAATTACATTTCATTGAAGAGTGTGTCTTTTGATTTGCCAATTAGAACTGGATAAAATTACAATCTTAAACAAAAGAACGTATTAGAAATCAATTATAATTTATTTTTAAGGAATATTAAATAAAGGTCAAAGAATCTTACATTTTGATTTATCATAAATTTCATTACCCAATTAATATCAATTGTTCTGATTTCAATAAAATTAAACGCAAAATATTACATTGCATTCTATTGTACATAAATTGAAACTATAAAATATATCAAAACACTACGTTACAGCACTTATAAAAATATAATCAAGTTGGTAAATAAAATTTGTATTCCGTAAAGATAAGGAAAATCAATATCGAAACTTTAAAACAATAACATAAAGAAATCCCTATTGTTAGCATCGATTTTTGACAATTTTTCAAAAACTCCTACCTTCTGGAATTTGTCGTAGAAAATCCATTTATTTTTTTTTCTTTTGTTTTTTTGTTTTGAATTGATATATAATTAACTTATTTAATCACTATATAAACATATAACTTGTTAATTAACAACTCAGCTATTCTTAGTAAAATACTGCATATTCTTAATCACACTCATACGATTTGTGGAATGAGAAAATTGCAGTACAAGTGACTGCTTCAATAAAATTGAACATTTTGCTGAGTTTAATTTAAAATCCTGCAGATGGCAGTAACTTGTAATTTAAAATCATATGTTTATACCCGCTTTAAACCAGGCATGTTATTATAAATAAATTCAACAGTTTCGAAAATTTTTACAAAATATTTTTATATAAAATAAAACTTTTCAATAAATTCATTTAATTTATAATATGAAAAATCCACTCTGAAGTTTCAATATTCTTCACAAAAATGAAATGAATAATTGAATTCAATTATCAAAATCAATTACATATATATTATTTAATACGAAATTAATTTTATTTCATTTTTTAATTGTATTAAAAATTATATTGATATCATATTACATATCTAAATTCTATTTAATTTCAGGCTTGACATACGTTCACAATAACTCATTGTGCAAATTATTATGTTGTTATTCTAGTGCTTTGTTAATAAATTAGCGACAGTGAAAGTCTTAACATTACCAACGCCCTGGACGTGATATACTAATGGACTATCTAAATTCATAAGAAAAACATTGCGGCTGTCACTCTGCCGATTGAGCAGTGAAAAATGTATAGTTATTGTGCACTGCTTAATCTGATCAAATGATCAAATATATTTCATAACTTTTCTCACTTTTTACGTATACTAAAAAAAGAAAATAAATAAACTATATTGGAAGTAAAAAACTACTTTTTTGACTTGTATCTGGCGAAAATGTGTTTTTGTTGCCCTAATCCGTCGCCACACCGCGTTTATCCCTACCGCCATTACTCATTATCGATACATAACAAATATAATCAAACTGTTACGGTTAGATGATGCTTTCTATTAATATGTTAATATGTATGGTTTGTATGATTTTGGATATTTCTTCACTACGTTTTTCATCTTACCAGTAATGCAAAGGATAGAAAAAACTTCGCGATTAAAATAAAAAACAGAAGTATGAAAAGATCGGTCATACCCTAAGTAAGACTTATAACAATATTGCTGACTTAGAACCTTCAAGTTGCAAAACTTTAAATAATGTGTAGGTGACTGATACCATGTAACAAAATTTATCAAATTACATTTCTTAAGCAGAATCCCTAAGATCATAAAAAGAAATATTGAAATAATAATTAAAAGTTTGAGAAAGATTTATACAATATTATAATGTAATTAACATAATAATATATTATTATGTTATCAAAAATATCTCAAAAGTATTTATTTCAAATAACATTAGTGTTATATCAATTGTAAGTTAACATATCCATTATAAATTTATTTTCAATATTGATAAAAATGATAAATTATTGTATAACGAAATGGCAAATTGTATACTTGTCTCAAACAAATGGACAAATGACCAAATGGACAAATGTCAATTTCAAATGCAATGCGTATATAATGAGTATAAAATGCAATTGAAGAAACCTTAGTAATTTAATAATAACACCTTGAAAAGTAACACTATTTTTAATATAAGTTTTTATTTGACGAAAACATGCAGAAAATTGCATTATATTTGAAAATATTTTTAATAGTTTAATAACCGAATATCTAAAATGTGCATAAATTTATTTGTCTATGAGAATTTATTTGTTGCACAAAAACCGTTAAAAGCTTATTTTAAATGTATGCATTTCAATTTTAACAAAAGTAAAACTTTATTTTCTAAGTATTGCATTAATAAAAACATAACGTGTTTGATTGATTGATTGATTGATTGATTGAAAAAATATAAATAAATGTAAATATTTATGGGAATGCATACCTTAATAATATGAAAGTTCAAGTGTTCAATATGCAAATAATTTTTAAGCAATTATGCCAGCAAAAATCTTTATTCGTTATCATGATTTACTTTTATTTATTAGAAAAATCAATATTGCTCTGTAATTGTGTTCATGGATTCAGGTATGCTTTCATTTTATTATATTTCTTTTTTAAATATAATTATTATTTAGTGACAACATAAATTTACAAAATATTTTATTTTTATAAAATATCATCATGAACTATTTAAATACATATATAGAAAGCAATTTCCCAATTATATGTCGTATAAAAGGATTTTGCGCAAATTCTATTTTCGCCTATTAACATTTAAATGTTAATATCTTTCCTGTAGTTGCTCTCATAAAAAGAATTTTATAAATTTATAACTAACATATCTTACGTTCGTAAAACAAAAATTATTTTATTTAAACTATAAAATTTTTTAAATGTTATGAAATTAGCTACGATATGTGTTAAAAAAATAATATTATCTCTTGCATTAAAATAGCTACTACATATCTTTTATAAAATAAAAAATAAATAATAAGTAACTTTTTAAATATTTTGTATTTCTTTTATGCTATATAAGAAACAATACCGAAAGCGCCGAACTTGTTTCACACTATGAATCAAGTTTATCATTGCCAGACATTCTGCCAATACCATCAAAAACTTATGACAAGAATCGTGCACCCAAATTATTGGGCCAACCTACTGTTGTATATTTTCATGTAACAGTTTTATCTTTGGATTCAATTAATGAAGAATCTATGGTAAATTCAAATAAGTTTCAATTTGTTTATTCAATTTATTTGTTGTTTGTTATAGACATACGTCACTGATATATTTTTAGCACAAAGTTGGCGAGATCCACGACTTCGACTTCCTGAGAATATGAGTGAAGAATATCGTATTTTGGATGTCGATTGGCTTCATAGCATTTGGCGTCCTGATTGTTTTTTTAAAAATGCTAAGAAAGTTACCTTTCACGAGATGACAATACCAAATCATTATTTATGGCTATATCATGATAAAACATTATTATATATGTCTAAGTAAGTATATAGCATATATATGTATATGAAATAAGTTGGAAAACAATGTTAATGCTATCTTAACAGTGTTTCAAGTAATTCAATTTTTTATTATGTGTTTAATAAAATCAAATATTGTCTGCATATTACTATTATGACATATGCCAGAACTTAACCAAGTTATTCATCTTTTATTTTCATTTTTTTTTTCAAAATTCATTTAAATTCCAAATATATTTCTCAAAATCTATCTGCATATTACTATTATGACATATATATGTTTTGTTACCCTATGCCAGAACTTAACCAAGTTATGCATCTTTTATTTTCATTTTCTTTCAAATTCATTTAAATTCCAAATATATTTCTCAAAATCTTTGATGGTGTATGCAAACGGTTTCCTACTTAAATGGCATAAATGCGCAAATACAATTCCGCGGTTCAAGGAACGAAAAAAATCGTTTCTAAGATTGGTGCATTTTCAGTATTTGCCTGACTATAGAGTGTCAAAGAAAGGTATGCCTGAAAAAAAACATGCAGTCATATAATTCACTGTATACCAGGAAATAATAATCCAATAAACACCGTTCTTATTATTATTTACAGTTATATTAGAGCTTTATTTTTTCTAACTTCTATGCATTTTATTTGCATAGTTAGTAAACTACATTTATTATTCCAACATACCATACAAGATATAACAAAAATATAGGTATAATATTTATAATTATTTTATGTATTTTTATAAAACAATTTTTAATAATAAAATAATTTCAATATAATAATTAGTATTAAGTTTAGCAAAAATGTATTAATTGCATTATTATATAAGCAAAACATAAAGCAACTCTGTAGAATGTTGAATCTCTCTCTCTCTCTTTCTCTCTGTTAAATTGGTTGTCGACTTGCATATTTATCTTATTTGTACTGCTACTCTACTTTTTGACTCTGTCTTACTTCGCAAATCTAGTAACATAGGCTTGGTACCGAGATCAGGGTCAAATATACTAAACGAAATATACTAAATATACTAAATTTACATTGTGCCCGACAAAAAAAGGTCCATAGGCGAGATTTTCAATAATCTTGCTGACCAGCAGTCAATCCACCGAAGACAAAAATGATTGTTAATCTTTCATTTAAAGACTAGACTAGGTCCATTATCGTGTTAGTAAACCATAGTAAGTTTCATGATTTCGGATTTCTTCTATATACTAAAAAACATGATAAATTCTCAACAAGGATTTTTTGTATCTTTCTGTATTATGTGTTTAGTAATCTAATTATTCAAATTATGAAGATTAGCGTAGCAAGTCTATATTATATTATAACATATTAGCAGTTTGAGGAATTTTAGGAAGTTTTGTATCTTCAGACAACAAGCCTTTGAATCGATGTGAAATGTTTGAACCTTTTGCAGAAACATTCGTTAGACAACACTGTATTGATGTACACATAAATTTCAAGATTGAGAAAAATAAAGCTAATTGAAAAATGTAGGGGTTCGAAAAAATCAAGGGGTTCGAACCCTATAGTTTCATACCCAAGCAACAAGAAGAACACATTAAATATTAGATTAAATTACGTTTAATAAACAATAAAAACGGTGTTTATAGTTTTATATATATGAGATTTAATTGACTGATTTTTTTTGCTAGACCTTTCTTTTACATCCTGTACCTTGGTTAATACTGAAAATATACTCGTTTTACCATATGATTTTTTTAAGATTCTTGAACTACCTTAATTAGCTACCTCATGCCTTTTAAGTCGGAGACACCCACTATAAGGTATCTACATTATCAACTAAATATTTATATAGTGGTGATTCTTATTTATATATATATTATAATATTTTCAAACTTTTTTTACAAGATTAACATTAGTTTTATCATGTGCAATGAAGTTTGAGTCATATCCACATGACACACAAATATGTTCCATGATGATTGAAAGTCGTAAGTAGAAAAAACATAAATAACACAACCAACTGAATAGCCTGCTTATAATTCAAGTATCGCATACGGTACAAGACTTGGTATTTATTTGGAATATGACAGACCCATTAGTTGTTAATAGCGAAATTGAATTACCTCAATTAGATATCTCTAATAACTACACAACGGATTGTACTATTGAATACTCAACAGGTTAGTTGTATTGCTTTATTTATATTTATGAACGATTATACTGCTTAACATTACATATAATATTTTATTACTTTGTGCATAGGTTTTAAAATTATTAAAATTAAAATTTAACAAAATAATTAATGTTTTGGGATTAAGAAATCTATATATCATGTATATCTATTTATTAAATTATTTATAACTCTGTATATTTGCAATGAAAATGTCACAAATATATAACTTGAATATTCAGAATACCTTAAATTATTACAATACAAAAGACTTAAGAAGCAAACCTTGTAATCCTTATGAGTAAAACTGTATACATTCAATTAACTAACACTAACTTTATTACTAACATAATTTAACTGCATCCAATCAAATATAGTACAATGAATACTTGATTTAATTACGTTTAACCTTTAGGTAATTTTACCTGCTTAGCTATTGTATTTAATTTGCGTCGACGATTGGGCTACCATCTTTTCCACACATATATACCATCCGCACTAATTGTTGTTATGTCTTGGATATCATTTTGGATCAAACCTGAAGCTATACCTGCTCGTGTTACTTTAGGCGTTACATCACTTTTAACTCTCGCAACACAAAATACACAATCTCAGCAATCTCTACCACCCGTGTCGTATGTGAAAGCAATTGATGTTTGGATGTCATCATGTTCAGTTTTTGTTTTCCTTTCTTTAATGGAATTTGCAGTAGTAAATAATTATATGGGACCAATTGCAACAAAAATGATGAAAGGTTATTCTGACGAAAATATACATGATTTGGATGATATGAAAGTATGTGAAATTATAAATATAACCTATTTTTATATATTACTTTATTTTTAGTATCATCGTGAATCAATAATTGAACCACAATATGATACATTTTGCCATGGTCACGCAACAGCTATATATATTGATAAATTTTCACGTTTTTTCTTCCCATTCTCATTTTTTATATTAAATATAGTATACTGGACAACGTTTCTATAATAGTAAATTCTAAATATATATAAATGCACTTGTTGTAATATTTATAAATGTTGATTAATTGAACAATTTCTAATAAACCCACTACTACTTACTCTCAAAAATATGTTATTGATGTTTCAATTCTTAAATTTAAGAGTATTTTATTAATAATAATTTGAAAGAAATAATATTTTTTTAATAACTAACACCTATGTCACCTAAACTGCAATCAACTTATTTAAATAAAAACTATTTTGTTTTTCTTTGGTACTTGTTCTTTATAATATATATTAAATACATTTAAATTATGATATCAATTATACAATATGAATTCAATAGTTATTATAATCTTGCAAACTTATCGAAAAATAACTTTTTAAATTAATTAATCACATTTAAAAGTACATAGTAAACAATGAGAATTCTATACCAGTTATTTAAATATATAAATATATAATGTGTAACTAATTTTATATATGTATACTTCTAACCTGCTTACTAATTTTTTTCATAAAGAAAAAAGAATACTACATATATTTATTTCATGATATAAGAAGTTAGTCTTAATATATTTGTTATAACAACATACATACAAATTAAAAATATAAATAAAATTTGTTGCTCACTGGAGACAAGCTTGAATTTTTTCGATCCACTCCTGAGCCAAATTGGCATTCACTGCATAAAAATTGTAATTTCGTTTGCATGTTTTTAACTAAAAATTATTCAAATATATTTAATCAGTTAGTTATACACTTAGATAAGTTAGATGAGATAAGTTAATAGCTTACATCGAAAAAACCTTTCTCATCAATTCGTTTTGTTCCAATTTGAGCTGGCTGTGCGGCCGACACTGATTGAACTTCAGCTAAATCTATAACAGAAATGCGATGTGATGCGATTTAATTGTATCGTAATAATTTTGTGAATTTTTTTGTTTTACCTATAAATCCCTTACATGTCGAGTCTTCAATAGAATCATAATATCGTAATTGATGTTTGATTGAGTCTAATACAAACCACCGCTGCTTCCATCCTTTCAGTAAAGCACCACGCTTATACAAGTGTCTAACGATATATTTATATTTATTTACATATATATAAAATATATTTTATTTCTTAATATGATGTGTTTCTAAACTTACCCTTCATGTGTTCGATTCTCTGCAACGTTGCTACTAAACTGATTATAAAAATGATGGCTAGATGTTCGCGCAGTTGTCGCTGCACTTGAAGCAATGCTAGATGTATCACCCTGTGATATATTTACATTAGGTGGTACAACTACACCATCTACTGCTTTATATTTAGTGCAATTTTTTACTGACAGTTCAGTGCACTTCTCATGATAAGAATTACCACAATCCATACAGCGATACCCAACTGGTCCCCATAATAATTTTGTGCAGTGATTACAATTCGTTGGAGTTGTATATGGATGTTTTTCGAATCGATGCGGATGGAAATATTTATCTTGATATCCTGATAGTCGTCCTTTCATTATAATCTCTAAAGTTGATCGTTTATGTTGAAGTTTGCCATGAGATTGAAGTAAAATACTACTAAGTGACGATTTACGAGTAAGTTTCTCTGTTTGTGGTAATTCAAGATTATTCCACACTTGTTGCCATTTTTGATATAAGTGTCCACGCTCCGTTTCAGCTTGTTTTAGTTCGCTTAACAAAAACACAAAGGTATTTGGATCGCTTTTCTCTATATTGTCATAGCCAGCACTTATGACAATGCGTTTGTCTTTCAATTCAGACAAATCAATCTCATCATCTGCATTAGTCAACTCAAGATCATATGGCGGACCTTGTGCTAGTTCCTCATTTGTATAATAAGGCCAAAGATCAAGCGCAGCCAAACAGTTCTGTGGCCGTAGTACACTATCCTGCGTGCAATACATAAAATTAAAGAAAATTTGCGATTTTCCGTGTTGACGTTCTATGTAGTCAAAAATTGATTGACCAATTCGATTAAAATTAACAGTTGATTTATTTCGTATTTCATTTATGTAGCCTCCATTTTCGTCATCAGAACCGTTAGTACCTAAACATTTGAACATTGAAATATCAATTAATATTTATACATATTAAATATTAAATAATCATAAAAAAAAAATCAAAAATATCAATTTAAAGAACTGATTAACATGCGTACATTTGCTATTACCCAACAAGTGTTTAGTACTCATAGAACTCCGTTTATCCTCCACTGACGCTATACCTAAATCAAAACGTTCCACTTCGCAATCGAATAAAAATGTACGAAAACGACATGATACCGTATGATATGCAAGAAAACGTATATAAAATTCATTAAATTCAAATGCCATCGGAAACTGTTTTTGAATCTGAAACACAACATCAAGGAATTGCAAGAAAGTTGGTGCAAACGCTATATTTGAGCTTGCATGTGCAGGTTTTAAATTGCTTCTGTGCGCAAAACGGTGACCAAACGCTATCCATTCCTTTTCAATTAGAACACGAAATCCTTCTATCGTTCTATAGAAGGGATCCAAACAAAGTTGTGCCACTGACGATACTTGCGCTGTTATATCCCAACCATCCTCTAAAGACAACATAACACTAGATTCTTGCAAATCAATCAAATCCACTACGGCACCGGACAATTGTAAAAGTGATGAAATTTGTTGCAACCAGTCAGATTGTTCAACGTTCTTCGCGAATGTTTGATCAGATTCGTTTATTATACTCGAAGGCAAACATGCTCTCATTAGTTTTTTAAAAGCCATTCGTGAATGTCTTATATCTGGATAATCAACAGGTATAAACTCTGCGCATAGATCAGCGTTAACTACAGACTTTGTTTGTGATTTTTCACCTATAAGACAAAGAATCTCTCTCTTTTTATAAAAAAAAGTATCAGTTTTTTAATTGCAAATTTTTTTTACCTAAAACATATAAACGCATTTTACGATATGTAGTTGCAGCACAATTTTTTACTGTTCCACCTTTTCGCTTTAAAGAATCTCCCCAATTGCTTACTTTTGTATCATTGGTTCCAAGAGTAGACTTAAATTTTCTGCTTACTTCTGGTGTTACTGATGTATCATTTCGACTTAAATAGTGATGCTCTTCGGATGAATTCAGAAGAAGTGAACTCATGGATAAATTAATGCCTGACATATTATACTGAGCTAAAGTTAGTGGGATAGTCTTCGGCATTGTATCAATTAATGCAATAAAATATTTATCTTGCTCATGATAATTTGTAACATCATGAGACATAGTATTTGAACCAGTTGAATTTTTTAACATACCTAAATATTAATTTTTATAATTTACCCAATTTATTATTTTTATTATTTTTATTAAATTGTTGCATACCTATAACAGATTTACTATGTGGCAATGATCCTCGTATTAACAATGCACCATTACGGTGCCTCCATGTTGGTGTCGGTATTCTTTGGCTTTTATAAGAACGTCCCAGTTGAATTAAAGCAGTATCAGTAATTTGTGTCGGTGAAACAAATACAGCTGGATACGAACGGCATAGACTATAATTTGAATTGAGTGTAGTTATACGAAAACCGTTTTGAGATTCATCAAAACCTAAACGTTTCCAGTCTTTCACATAATTACGTTCCTTCATACGTTCTATATCTTTTGTTGTTAACAAACGCGGCAACGAGTCAGTGTTTGTTTCAAACTCATCTTCTTCTAGTTCATCATCAAGTGAATGTGTTTCAACAGTTTCTGTTGTTCCCATTGTATCAAAATCCAAGCTTGAAGTAAGGAGCTTGCGTTTAGCTTGACCCTTTTGTTTAAATCCAGCCTTTTTTGCTGTGCGCAATAATGTTTTTTTTGCGAACCCTTTTAAAGTTGAGTATTTTTCTTTAGTTTTTAGTGGTGCCGTCCCATGAATGATTGTACCATACGATTGAAAAGCAAAATGTTCAAACTCATCAACAGGGTGACGGGCCTTACACAATGTTTTACGAAAACCATCAATCATTTCTGGTGTAACTTCTGTATCAAAAGCTATTTTCAGAAGCTGAAAGGTACTGGAACGTAATTGTAAACCTTCTGGAAGCGTTTGATCCAAATGTGAAAGGTAAAGAACGGATATTTTTTTTTCTTTAAGTAGTGAAGATATTGGAAAAGCTCGTATAATTGTTTGTTCACAAGCCAGCGGATCACAGGGACTACCTTCATTATTATAAAAGTATTTAAATAAAATTATCTTTAAATAAAATCTTGTGTTAAATAAATATTTTTACCTTTAAAGACAACTCTATAATTAGTTAAAAATATTGCACCCTCAGCTGGTATTAAACACTGCACATCATCTTCTCTACCATCGGGCATTAGGTAACAACGCAAATGTTCTGTAACAATTTCTTCTCCTGGTAGTAAACAAGGTGCTTGTATCTTTGGTTTTTGTACGTGAGGATGCCGTTTAGATTCTAAATAAACTGATTCTAATGATTCTATATGCATATGTACAACTCCAGGCACCATATCATGTAAATTTCTTATATGTTCAGATGTAACGCCACCCTCTGTGCAGACGCGATCTATAAATCGTGAAATAATCTTGCCAACTGTTCCCCCAACTTCCAATGCATCATTTTCTTCGAAACCTTCATCAGAATGTTCACTTAAACTATGAGAACCCATTATGCTTTTAAATAAATTAAATTAATTAAAACATTTTATAAATATCAAGGTAATACGGTAACACTTCAATTTAATATATTTACTACAAACCTATTCGAAACACTATGGTTATCATCAAGACGAAATGATGTTTTCGGTTTCTGACCAACTGCATTAACATCCGGTGGTATTAGTAGTGAAACCATTCGATTTGCATAATGAATCGCCTGGCTGTATAATGTAGATTCCTCAGATTGCGCAAATTCCTATCAAATATTTATATAATTATAATACAAATATATGGTATTATAAATTTTTTTTATAAAATATCAATCGAAATTCTGTACCTTTTTATTTTCTTCTTCAATAGAAGGGCTTTTTCGCATTTGTTCCGCTGTTATTTCCAAAGCTGTTGGTTCTTCTAATGGCACATCATCCAACACACAATTAGACTCTTTATTGTGTTCGCTTTTACGGGTATGTAGCATATATAAAGATTTTATTTGTGTTTGAACGTCTTGATAAAATGTTGATTCCCAGAACTGCAGATTTTTCCAAATCGGATGATCTTGAATGCATGTGTAAGCGAATTGATAAACTGTAGATAGTTTTCTACAGAATATGGTTGACATAGGAAGTAAAGCAGCAGCTACTGTGTACTCATCAATTCCCGTTGAATTTTGTAAAGTTTTGTTCATAAATCTATAATTATGTAATTATGTAATAATTTTAACTTACAGATTTACAAATTTAAACCATTTATATAAAATTAAATAAAAACTAAAAATATTTTTCATATCTCCGTATATATATATATATATATATATTAAAACGTGAAAAAAATTTAAAGTGTGAATGTAAATACACTTATTTTATTACTATTATTTAAATGAAGAACTTTAAAAGAGCCTCAAATGTCAATTTCAAGATTATCTTTATACCAAAATTTTAACACGATGCCTATATGAAATAATGTGTGTGATACCTCTTTACATTAATAAAGAACAATCAACCAATCAACAATTAAACAGAATACTTTTATTATAATCAATAAGCAAAACTTAAAACTTACTTTATAATCAAATCAAATTGCTGATGATCTAGAACGGCTTTATTTCCATTTACATAACCAAACAATTCCCGACAAAGTATTAACCTGGCATCGCGGTGTTTTAACGTTCGCATTACAGCCGGTACCAATTTGCGAGCATCTGCAATTTTATTTTCAAATATGTATGACACACAAGTTTTTAAAACCTAAAAATATATTCAAATTATATCCAAAACTAAGAGTAAAGGTATATACATACCTCTAGTCGTCTAGCTGAATTTAATAAGTTTGGCCTAACATCAAGCACTTCAGGCAATCGTGGCCCCATTGGAATGATACGATTTTGGTTTCTTACAGCAATAAAACGTTGAGAAATGCAATTTTTTTTGATTCCTTCATTAATTATAACATTAACTTTTTCTGAATTTATCCGCGGAAATGCTGGTTGATGAATGCGATGAAAGGAACCATCAGGTGGACGTAATACTTTTTGTGCATAAGTTACCGGATTGGGGCATTCGTTTTCAAATAAAATTTTACCTAAATCCTGTATATGTTGCGCAATCTGAACAATATATAAAATTAAACAAAAACTCATTTTTAAATAAATATTCATATATATTATATATTTACTAGATTTTTATTATTGGCTTCAGACTTTAAAACTTCATTCATTGAACTATATAGCTCATCCCATGCATCTGAGGGTCGCCAAGGTGGTCCACGCTCATTAACAAAAGTAGTAAAGAACATACTATCAAGCACACGATAAAGAAATTCGCTCTCTATTAAGTCACGCGCTCCAAGGAAGCCAGCTTTATGAAAAGTTATAACAGGCTTGGGATGTATTCGTATAAGCGTCAAACATGACCGATAACTATTTGAATAAATTATTTTGAGATGGAATAAAAAACAAGGAAAAAATAAATAATACCCTTGCAATAATTGTGAAAATAAGCGCATGAAAATAGCTCTCAATTCTTTATCAATAAGTGCTTCTGATTTCGGATAGTTTGTTGGCTTTTCTAATGAAGGAAATGCCAAGTCAGCTTGCGATAAATTAGGAAATAAAATCATCGTTAATAACTCTTGAGTATTTTCCCATAGCGGTGATGGCAATATGGGAACCGGTGGTGATAAGGATTCAGGAATAGTAACCAAACCTCCATCTAAATCAACAACAATCACGTCCAGTAAATCGCTTATTTCACTTTGCAGTGAACTGTGTATACCCATTATAAAAGGTGTTGGCGTTGAAAGCACTTCTGTTAGAGGCGCAGGAAGTATTGGAATGTACACATGGGTATATCTATTAATTAAAAATATATGCTACACTTCTTGATATTCTACGCAATTATATACACTTACCTAAATGGGTACATTAGAGCAACTAATGCTTTGCAACTTTCAGTTAAATGTGAATAACTTTTAGAATGGAATAGTACTTTGTTCTCCGTCATAACAGCACATAGCAAAATAAGAACATTTTTAATACCTGTTATAAATTATAAGACATATTTAAATATAAAACAAATTATTTAAACGCTTTTTAACATACCTAATTGCTTAAAAACAAAATATACTGCTGTACCCGTAACAGGTAATGAAGGAGACTGTGGAATTTGCAATGATTGTTTATCACCAGCACCAATGGAAAACCTGACTTGGGGACCGCCTGGTGAAGGAACTTGAATGCATCCCAATATATTGCCAATTAGTGTTTCTAAAGCGTAGGGTAAGTTTTCAACATAAACCGTATATATGGTACCTAGGCAGTTCTGTATAAATATATAAATTTTATTTTAAATAAAGAATTTCATTATTTAATGGGAGTAATACGAGTAACACAAGTAACACAAGTAAAAAATAATCCTTTTACTAAAACCATTTACCTTAAATGTTTCTGCACAGTCTAACCGCGATATAAGAACCAAACACTTTGGTGCGTACATGACGCTGTGATGCGATATACTTATATTATTTGTAATCGTAGATGATGAAGCACAGCCGGTTTGGAATTTTGAAGGTAATACAGTTTCATCTTCTTCGTCTACAATTTTATTTAATGTAATAGCCAATGTTTCGTGAAAACTGAGACAGGCACAGTAGTGCTTATTAGCATCAATATCAGTAAGAACAGAAGTGAAAAATTTCGGTTCTTGTTTTTCGTAAGACAAATTCCAACCGAGTGGTTGACAAAACTAAAAAATAATTATTTATACAGAGGACGGAAAATATAGTATTAATAATACTAAACAAACCCATTCAATGCCCTCAATGAATGAAGTATCTGCCCAGTCATTTTCAGGAAATCTTTGAACAATTTTGCCGCATGAAATTTGTGTACTTTCATCATTCGTTCCTACAAAAGCATAATAAAAATAAATTCATTGTGATTTTTTTAATAAGCATAAGTTTAAAGTGTTATTTTTCATATTAAATATTCATAATTATTTTATGGTAATTGTATTATTATTTAGTTTTAATTCATACACTAATTAGACCAACATAAAAGCCAAAAATTTAACATAAAATAATATATGAAATAATGAAAATAAACTTACTTTCTTTGTCATTATCATAGCCAACAACAACAAAGTAATCAGCTAGCCGGGACATTTCGTTACCAACGATTGTGTTACATTCTTTACACAAAACTCCTCAACTTCCTATCACTTTTTCTTACTTCACCCTAAATAAATATATTTTGAACACACCAACTTACTGAACCAAATTATGTTTTTGTAGGAAAAAGATTTAGTATGCTCCATTCGCTTTATATGTTTTGAATATTAATCTAATTTTTTGTTTCATGTTTTGTTCTATATTTCTTAAATATTTTCTTTTTAACCACACCCGTTCTTTGGACACATGGCTTAAATTTATTATATTTTACATATCCTAGTATATTTTATTTAATTCTTTAGTTTTCACAATTAAACATATGAACTTTTGTAAATAAACAAACTAAATTAGATAAATTTACAAAATTTTACTATTTTCTAACTACACCCACAAAACATAAAACAACAAATAGTTTTTGAGCAACCATACAGCGTTGTATTTGGTAGTAGCGGAAATCATGCAATCATACTGTTCAAATAACTTTTTCTATAATTAGTGAACAATAATAATAATTAAAAAAATTACATTCAATATTTTATTACTTTAATTTAGTAAAACTTGATATTTTTTAACTATGATCATCATTTTATTCGAAATAACTTAAAAGTACTTATTCTCAAATGCACATTATTAGGATGATGTTTAAAAAATTATTAATTCTTACATATTAAAATCAAAGTAAATGCGAAATATATATCATCTTTTTAAAATAGTTTAACTACTTGGTAATATATTCGAAAACTAATTATGCACTATACTACTAATTGTTTCTGATCAATATATGCCTTAATAAATTCAAATATACATATGTGAGAATACATATATTTTTATTATTTTATTTTGGCATGTTATTAATTACAATAATCAAGAACTTAGCCTATTTACAAATAATTTCCAATTTCCTCTATTTCTGGCCATACATCGTAATTCCTTAATCGATTTAGATGTTTCCTGTTGTATTGAACGTCCCCACGTCGTTTTGGTCTTCTCACACTTATTTTACCTTGATGGATGATTTCAGCGCAGCGTGTGAAATTGCCGATCTGTATTCACGTAGCGTATGGTCTAGCTAATCGTTTTATTATTTCTTTGCTGATCTCTGATCTGAGATCTGAGATCTGCTTTGTAATACACCATAATCGTTCATTCGTAATTATTCTTGGCCACCAGATTCCTACTATTCTTTTTATAGAACTATTGACAAAGGTTTGTAGTTTTTGTAGAATCGAGGAAGTGGTATGCCAAATTTCGCTCCCATACAGCAGCACTGACTTAACACATCCATTAAATATTTATATCTTTGATTCTAGTTGAATTGATGCTGTTTTCCATACGCGAGCAACACTGCATATAACATTTAAAATACAAAAATCATTTCGGAAGTTCAACATTCTCCAATGGGACTGCACAAGCAGGTATGTGTTTGTTGACATATGTCGTTTATTAGTGTTTGTCCCACTAAGAAGCAAGTCCCTTATGTTACTTGCTTCTTATGTTACTTCTAATGGCCGGTATTGAACCTAATCCTGATCCTGTCGGACCTTCCACCTCAACTTGGCACTGTTCTGTCTGCCACTCTATCATACGCAGAAGTCAAACATCAGTGAAATGCAACAGTTGCAATAACTGGTGTCACCTTAATAATTGTTTAGGGTTGCATAGCCATACTGATTGGAATCCAGCTTTTAGAGGAGCTTGCTGTCCTCCAGCTCCTCTACACAGGCAATCTCCATCTTCGTCTACCTCCGGCAGTCCTTTTCCAAACAATGCATCATCTACTTCTCCCATCACTTGGCTATGCACTGTGTGTAAAAGAGTAATCTCTAGGAACACCATCTCCGTCAGTTGCAATTCTTGCAATGGCTGGTTTCACCTTAGACCTTGCTCCGGATTGGTCTCTCATCATGGTTGGAATTCAAATATCATTGGCAGTTGCTGCCAAACTCCACCTATTATTCCACCACAAAACCACTCACACCTGCAACGCACTAGCGTAGTCTCCGCAATTAATAGTTCATCCCCTCTCAAAATTCTACAGTTCAACTGTAATGGTCTAAGAGGGAAACTATTTAAAATTGCAGCATTGAAATTGTAGCCGCACTGCAGGAGACTAACCTATTGCCCCTATCTCTCCCCCCTCAGGCTTTACACTCATTCGTAAAGACCGACCTAGGGGCGCAGGAGGTGGTGTTGCTTTTCTGTTGCGGGATTCTACATCTCATTGTGAGCTTTCTTTGCCCCCGTCAAATGACGAATACTTGGAGGTTATAGGGTTAAAAATTTTCATTAATAGGTCATCAAGATTCCTTAAACTAGTCAATATCTACCTGCCACCCAACTCTAGCTGCCCTCCACAGCACACCCCAAATATTTCATATCTTCTAGATGAGGACTTGCGTTTTGTACTGGGTGATTTGAATGCACACTATTCCCTGTGGTTTTCCAGCCTACCAACTGATCAGATAGGCCTGCAATTGGCTTCCCAAATTGATGAATCCTCTTTTGGTGTTCTAAATGAGGACTCGTCCACTAGGGTAACACCAACCTGCTCCAGCTCTCTTGATGTCAGTGTTGATATAGCTTTAAGCTCAGATCACACTCCCATCACAATTTCTATTCCATCAATCGAGGTCCTCACCGAGGCCTTTTTAAAGATATTTCAGAACGCGACTTCAGTAGCATCTCTCTGTCCTCTGATTTGAACAAGGCAGAGAAACAATTTCGCAGCATAATTATCAAAGCTGCCGCCACAGCTGTCCCAGCAGGTAGAATTAAAACCATTAGACCAGGTGTTCCTAGTGACGTTGTGCCTCTTGCTGAGGAACGCGTCAATTTTCGAAGATTGAACCCACCCAATCCACATATAAAAATTCTGAACAACAACATCCGTAAAATGGTGGACGAATATCGTCTTGGTAAATGGAAGGAACTTTTAGATAACTGTGACTTCCAAAATTGTAAATTGTGGACTACCATTAAAGCACTTTCTAATCCTTCCCGTTTCAACAACAAGACGACATCATTTAATAGGATCACTTTCACCGATCCCAAGTATTGCGCCCGACAATTTTGTTGTCTTTTCGTGCTCAATGCTTCTGCTTCTCTTGTTACACGTGCTTCTCTGATGATGTACTTAATACGATCAGACATGCCAAAGCCTCGAAAGCTCTTGCTCCTGATAGCATTTCCATGCTCATGCTCAAGAACCTCGAGACCTATGGTATTTCAGTTCTGACGCACATTATGAACTCTTCCATCAGTTCACACATCATCCCAAACATTTGAGAGACTGGTAGAATAATTCCATTGTTGAAACCAGGTAAACTGGTGGGGTTAAGTGAATCCTACAGACCGATATCCTTGCTATCCCCAGTAGCTAAAGTTCTGGAGTCTTTAGTACTGAAGCAAATATTACCTGACATTCATCTAGCTCCTCATCAACATGGTTTTCGCAAACGTCACAGTACCACCTCAGCTCTTTGCGAGATAACATCTCAAATCGTAAATGGCCTAAATTAAAATCACCCGTGTGAACGGAAATTATATTTAATTAAAACGCACAAAACTTAAGTTTTATACTTAGTTTATTAAATGTATCTTAAGACTGACTTATATCTAACATCTTTACTTATATTTATAGTGAGGATTCGAAGTATCGAATCCTGATAAGACAATTCGTTGTTTGGTTAGGCCGAATAACGATAATAATACTTTTAGTTATAATGTTTAGTTAGAGATTGTAAAGTATAATATGGTATGTAGCAGAGGCGAGGCGTCGAATGGTTCAGAGTGTTCACTGAACACCTTAACAAAGCTTCCTTTTTAGATTTTTTTTATTAGGTAAATAATCTCGCTATATTGCTAATTAACATTTTTTATAATAGCTTTTCCAAACAGATTAACATAAACACAAAACGTAGAATACAAACTAAATCACACATATGTTAGATACACCCAACATTGCTTATAATTAATAAAAGAGAAATAACATTCCTCTTGAAATATACTAAGGTTCAGAATAAAAACTGCACTGCGTCGCTTAAAAAGCATGCAAATGAAATAACATTCACATTGGGACTATGTTCAATATTGAATACACAACACAAGACATACAAAGAAATATAAAAATAAAAGAGAAAACAAAAACAAAATAATCATAACTCTTAAATTAATGCGTGCAAGCAGTTCAATAAAAAAAGTGCACTTCCAATGTTATGCAAAGTAAATACAAAAGAGAAAAAAAATGACTGAGCGAAAATCGCTTTACATTTGACGAGAGGATCATTCCACTAAACTGAACCAAAAGTTTATACAAAGCGTGCAAATACAATCAAAGTCACGATTGCTGTTTTATATGGGCAAATGGTTCAGTATAAAACCTGAACCGGGCATTGTAAATACAAAGTAAAAGAGTAAATGAAGAGTAAATGAGAGTTTCTTACTCTTATATAGAGGGTGGAAATAAATCAAAACAAAGTCATTATTGCAATTTTATACTAGCAAATGGTAAAAGTAAAGAAAGAAATTAAAGAAATTTGAAGTGAAAAATAATATTTAGAAATGGATAAATGTGTGATTAAAGATTTGATTCAATGTCTTTTTTTAAACGATCTTCTGAAAAAAATATTTTAATTCATGAAATGAATAAACCAACTCCAGATATGAAGAATTTGATACCTGTTGTAAAAATGTTGAAATCTATGGTAAGTCGTCGTTTTCCAACAGCTACAACTTTATGGTAAATAAAAACCAGTGGATCACAGGCTGCGAACATTTAAATAAATTGTTTTGTTGGTCTTGTACGCTATTTGCTTGTGGAAAGGACAAAACTTAGAAGTAGGGAGAATACGTTATAGTTGGAATTCTGTTTTGATTAAATTGTGAACACCTTGCCAAAAAGCTGACGCCTCGCTACTGGTATGTAGTGATAATAGAATACAATGAGAACATTTCATTGTTTGGTTAGGCTAAACAACGATAATAATATTTTTAGTTACAATGTTTAGTTAAAGATAGTAGAATATAATAAAGTATAATATAGATCTTTCGTTGTTTGATTAGGTCGAAAAACGATAATAAAATGTTTAGTAGGATGCAATGTAGATGTTTCGTTGTTTGATTAGGTCAAACAACGATGATAAAATATTTAGCGTAGGGATAAGATAAAAGAATGTAACTCGCACGATGCTTGTTGCCCATGATCTCGCAAAAGCATTTGACACAGTCTCCCATAGGACCCTGTTAAATGACTTGGCCGAAACATCTATCCCTGACTCCACCAAGAGATGGCTCTGTAACTATCTTATAGGTAGATCATCCTTTGTTGACTTTAGATATAATATGTCAAAAGCTAGGAAATTGAAACAAGGTCTTCCCCAGGGTAGCGTTCTTTCACCGATCCTCTTCAATTTATACATGTCCAAACTCCCGGACCCCCCAGAGGGAGTCAGAGTCATAACCTATGCAGATGAGTGCACAATTCTAACTACGGGCCATATCTACCATCTTTGGCATCATTTCTGGCTAATAGAAATCTTCAGCTATCACCAAATAAATCTTCAGCCACCATCTTTACTTCCTGGAATAAAGAGGTTTCCTTGACTCTGCCCATAAATATCGGTGCAATAAGGATCCCTACCACCACCAAACCAAAAATCCTGGGTGTCGTATTCGCCAGTATGCTGACTTTTTCTGCACATGCGTTTGCTATATGTGACCGGTTGAAATTACGTAATAATGTGTTAAAAGCTCTCGCAGGTTGTTCTTGGGGCAAAGGTAAAGAAACCCTACTGAGTACATACAAAGCAATAGGACGTCCTATTGCGGCCTATGCAGCTCCAGCATGGACCCCACAACTCTGCGAGACGCAATGGACCACAAACCAATCTTGTCAAAATACGACATTGCGGGTTGCAACTGGTTGCCATAGCATGTCGCATGCTGACCACCTTCATGTAGAATCAAAAATGCTTCTTGTAAAAGAGCATAATCAACTACTGTCTAAGCAATATCTTCTCGCGTGCCACACAGATGGTCATCCCAATGGCGCCATGGCTAGTAGTGCCCTCCCTCCTAGATGCATCCGTCGATACGTCCTCTCTTTTATTAAATTTATCGACAAGATTCTTAATAGGCCTCCGCCTGAAATCTCCTCGGATGAACGCTGTCTTCCTCGTGCAGGAAGAACTGTGCTTGCTCAATTGAGATCAGGATATAGCCGAGTGCTAAACAGTTATTTGTCTTGCATAAATACGTCCATCCACAATGTGTGCCCCAACTGCAGCTCTTCTCCCCATGACGCCGCCCATCTGTTTACATGTCCTTCTGCACACACAAATCTTCGTCCAATTAACCTTTGGACTCACCCCATTGAAGTGGTCAAGTTTCTCCGCCTGGATCCAGGATGACGGTTTATATATACCTCCTTTCCAACGCTTCCACATCCTTCTTTCCCCCTCTTCTTCCTTAACCCCTCCCCCTCCTAACTTTCATCCTATTTCCCTAATTATGTAATCGTCTTGTGTTTTCTTTCATGTTTATCTGCTTACAGGTCCCTGCAGGTTACAACAACAACAACAACAAATATACCTATTAATAATGATGTTTTTTGACCAGTACGTTTTGTTTTTTAAATTATAATTTCTATTAGGCTACTCTGGTCTTGTAACTGGAATGTAAACAAAAATTAATTTATTTCATTTTTTCACCCGACGTTACGTTGGTTTTTTTCTAACATCTTTAGGGGTATCTAAAAGATTTTTTTATTATTTAATAATTATGATTTTTTACAATGTGAAAATAAATTTATAATTTTTGATAATGTATAAAATTGTACACGAAGAAAACATGTGCATAAAATAAATAACCACAACACTAATAACAAAACAAAACAATAACAATAGTTATCAATTCAAAGTTTTAGAATTATTTAATTATAATATTAACCAATAATTTAAGTTTAAATTAATCACTGTTTGTTTAATAATTTCATATGTAAATAAACAATTAAAAGTTAAAGATACAAATATTTAAAATGTTTATATAAATATTGTAGACACTACTTTAAGTTGCCTATATTTGCGAACGAAGGTATAACAAAATGAAAGTAAAAAATATTTATTAAATAAAATTAAAAAAAATGTTTGAAAAAACATCATTCGGAATATAAATTTTAGTAATTAAAGATTATTATTTATATAAGTACAATGTTTTATATATATACACTTTATTGTTTTCAAAAGCTATTCGAATCCCTGTGTTCGCCGTATTGCAACTATTTCATCGTTTGTATTCATACTAGAAAAACCACATGGCTGCATTGTCATCATAGCAGTGCCAGAGCTTATTGTACGTAAACTTGTAGAATATCCAAACAACTCAGCTAAAGGAACTTTTGCCGTAATTACCTAAAAAAATATATATTCAATAAATATATTTATATTGTAGAAATAAGGTTTTAAACAAACCTTATTATTGGATTTTGGTACAATTTCGTTAATTATTCCACGTCGTCGAGATAAATCTGCAAGAATTTGTGAAATATTTTCAGCAGGTGAAACTATTTGAATTTCCATTACAGGTTCTAGTAAACGAGTTCCTATAGTGTTCAGTATCTGTTATAATTAAAAGAGTGAAATATTCTCTCCAATAAGAGTCTATATAATTATTTACTTTCTGAATACATTGTACTGCCGCAGCCATTATAAAAGAATCCGCCGTTCCACGCCCAACGACAATATTATGCAGTTTAATTTGAGTATCTACCACTTGTCCCCCAACTCTTGGTCCTCTTTCTAAAGCAGAAAGTGCACCTTTTCGTATTATTTGCAACATTCGTGGTCGTAACATGTTTACATTTGCCACATTTTCTGGAGATTTGTCTATGCTAATAAATTTGTTACATATGGTAATTAAATATTTATTTTACTTTTTAACAAAGACACCAATTAGCATATATTTCAATATTATTGTGAATTTACCTAAATAAATCATGACATCCTTTTATTAACTCAAGCGTTATTGTAACATTTTGCTTAATACCAGCAATATCTTTTTCAACGAAATAAGTTTCCTTTGCAGATGCATCAATTGTTTCTTTGTAAGCAATTTGTAAAGGACCCAAATCTACATCAATCTTATATTCAGTCAAAATTCGGGATTTTATAATTTCCATATGTAGTTCACCCATTCCTAAATAAATTCTCATTAAATAATTAATTTTCTGAATTTTGAATTATAAATTATAAATTATTAATTTAGTAGCAATCTTACCGCCTAAAACTGTTTGTCCTGTTACTTCGTCGTGCCGAACAGTCAAACTAGGATCTTCGCGCTGTAATTGTTTTAACGCAAGTTCCATGGCGCTTTGTGTTGACAAATTTGGCGGTTCAATCGAACAAAAATAAACAGCTACTGGAACCTGTGGTTCAGTCGAAAAAATTTCATTTATAATGTTTTCCTCAATTTCATCTTTCTTTTCAAATTCCTCATTTTTATAAATGTTTTTCAGTCGTTTTTGTGCATTTTTTAGGGAACTTGTGCTCTCAATTAACAAATCTCCAGTTGTAGTATTCTAGAAAAAACAAAAATCTAATTAAAATCAAATTTTGCTCATTAATATTTACATAAAAATAAAATACCTTAAGACCGCTGCATATGCCAATATTACCAGCCTGTACAGTGTCGATTTCGCGATATTCATCAGCTAATGGTTCAAAAATTTTATTTAAAATTTCTTGCCCACCTCGCGATAAAGTGACTTTTTGTCCTTTTTTCATATTTCCGCGATATACTCTAACTAACGTTAACGGCCCACGATGTTTATCATGAATTATTTTAAAAACCTTACCAACAAAATCGTTGCTTTAAAAGTTTTTATACATTTAGAATTTGATTAAATATTTTTAATACACAATTATTACCCAAAACAGTCATAAATCTGGTTCCGTTCATGTGGAGCTGGTAAATACTGAATTACGGCATCCATTAATTTTTGAATGCCTATATTTTTATAGGCTGAACCAAGTATCACAGGTACAGTTTTATTATTCAAAGTTGTGCGCCGTAGGGCATCATATATCATTTTATTAGTTATATTCTCAAAACTTTCATGTTTGATTACGAAGTCTGCCAATTCATCATCTAGTCCAGACAATTCATCTATCAACTCGTTTCTTCTATGTTGTAATTTTAAAAACATATCATCGCCAGCAACTAAATTCTCTGTTACATAATCTCTACCTAAAGTTTCTGAATTCCACCGATATTTTTGTAAGGTTATAACATCGTAAATAGCTAAGAACAGTAATAAAATAAAACTATTATATCATATTATTCTCTATACTATACGGAAGTACTTAAAGTTTTGTTGTCATCATTTTTGTGTATCTGTAAAGATAATGGTTTAACACCCAATTTTATTCTTAAATCTGCTATACATTTTTCGAAATCTGAGTCAGTACGGTCCATTTTATTCACAAACACAATTCTGGGCAGTGAATGTTTATTGGCCTGTGCCCAAACTGTAAGCGTTTGAGCTTCTACACCGGCTGCAGCATCTAAAACAATAATGACACCATCAACTGCATGCAATGATTGTTCCACTTCCATTGTAAAATCAATATGTCCAGGAGTATCCAATAAATTTATTCTAAATTTATTCACTTAATAAAAATAAAGGTTTTCTCATTTCTCTTACCTGTTGCCACTCCAACTAAATGATACTGCTGAGCTACAAATTGTAATTCCTCGCTCACGTTCCTGAGTTAAACAATCAGTAACGGTATTACCACGATGTACTTCTCCAGGTGAATGTATTTTGCCGGAGTAAAACAACATTCGTTCTGTTGTTGTAGTTTTTCCTTAAATTTTTAAAATTTCGTTAACAAATCGTTTTTAAATAAGTTAACTTACCTGCATCAATATGGGCTAAAATGCCGATGTTTCTAATGTCCTTGTTGCAAAAGAAACGTAAACATATCGTTCTCCTAAATGATGGTTGTAAATTAAATAAAATCTTTTTTATTAACATTATAATATTTGATAATTTTAAATGAATAATATAAAATACTGATTTCCTGGAGATGAAAACATATGTTTTCTTTTTTAAACAGCAGTTGATCACTGGATGCGTAAACAGAGTGACTACGGCTAAAAAATTTAATATTTAAAAACATAACATATGCATATATAAAATCTGATTTATTACTATTTTTTAAATTTTTTTTTTCTTATTTTTTTTTTCATTCTTATTCTTTTCGGCACGAATAATATAATGTATTGTTTTTATAATGTCTCTTCCACGAGTTACTCGTAGTAACTTTGAGTAACACTGTGCACTTTGAGTGCATCTGAGAGAGCGTAATATCCCTGTCGAAATTTCAAAATGCTACACAGACTTTATTCGTTTATTTTATTTCAAGTAAAATTTGTGTGATATATGAATCAGCTGTTTTGGTTTGAATTTAAATTTTTGTATTGTTTATTTGCGCGGCACTGGTGTTCTCTCCAGATTTTACACAAAGCTGTTTCATAAAAATTTGGCATTTTATTTGTGTAACGCTCTCAGTTTGTATTTTACTTCTATTTTACTCGAGTTTTACTATGAGTAGCTGGTGGAACATACCTAATATAGATCGGTTTGGCGTTTGTTAATTGTTTCTACAACACAATTAATTCAGCTTTAAGTAAGTATTACACATCATTCTTGAATGTTGACATGTGGACACTCATCAAAGCAATTTAAAATTACTGTTTAATCACGCACGCCATAAAACGATATTTCCGCTTTCACGATTTAAAACAGAATGAATTTTGTGTGGAAAGCCAGCAAAAGTCCGACAAAAGTTCTATACAAAAAAAGATAAGCCAGACTCACGAAAAATCAAAATATTTTGATTTCCATCAATCTGCTTGACATAACAAATGTTGCTATTACATATAAGACTTGGCTGAATTTTTTTTCAGCTTTAATCCATCAGCAGCTCATTTGTTGACTGTTTCTACTACTAATGGAAGGAGTTATCCACATCACATCCATATCATCATTTTTCGTTCTCTGCTATAATTTCTCCATTAACAAGTTTATGCTGTTTCCATAACTTTTTATATTCACATAAATATAAATATATGTTATAATAGAGTAATAGAGAATAAGCACAGTCACCGCATTTGAAGACTTATACCATGTTTCCACTACTTAGTAAGTGTAACTTATACCTTGTTTCCACTGCTTACTTAAGTAAATTACTTGAGTAACTAAGATTTTGTCGTTTACATTGGCACAAATAACTTGAGGCATGTGGAAGAACTTTCATGTGACAAAAAGTTCTAATTGTAGAGCTTTTCTTTGTTTACATTTTTATTATAAGTAGATAACATTAAATTTTGTATTGTGACAAAAAAATATTTCAGCATGGTAAACGCAGAAAATGTTTGTGATATTGTTGACAACATGAATGCACCAGTTGTTGCATACGTACAATTTTTATCTTTTTTTTTTTTAAAACGAATCTTAGAAAGTTGTACAAATATTGCAACTAGTATAAAATTAAAATGATACTAACAAGCAATTTGTACGATCAGTAAACTCTTGCACAGCTGCGCAAGTCGTGATGTTTTCAAAAACGTCCTCACATTCCAGGTTGCGAATCGTGTGTTACTTTCATGCTCAAGGTCGCCATCAGCAAGTTGTTGCCATTTTTATTATTATTTATTGCGGTTTTGTTAATCATTTGGTTTAAGAGTGGTAGCTGATTGACCTACCGAATCCGATTCTGGTGATGGGGCTGCCAACTGTTGCCCCAAGACCGACAGAAAATATTGTGACAGTACTCTTTTTGAAGGTATACGGGCGCCGCCATTAACCAGTTACGTTCTTCCGCCGCCATCTCTTTTACAGACTCCTGTCTATGCATGCAACTCTGTCCGTAACCTACGGCCTCAAAACATCCAGTGGGTAGCTTACAGATAGAGGTTTTTAAGGAAATGACACTCTTCCGACTGTTTGGTCCGCGGGAGGTATTTCTCTCCTGCCATCCAATAAGGGGAAAGCATCCGTTATCCACCACCTGCGACGTGTCATCTAGGGGTTACAGTCTGCCCGATGAAGGTAAAAAGAAATTAGCAGTATAAACTAGTATTTGATAAATTTTTTGTTTTCATAAATTAAATATGCAATAGATATGTGGTATTTCTATTACCACTTTATTATTAATTAAAACACTTTTATTTATTGTTATTATTTATTATTTTACTCATATTTATTGCTTTACACATACACATAATTATGTGATTTTTTTCTCTTGCTAATGAAAGCTGGGCCATTAAGTTAGTTTGTACTTTAGTTTTCACATAACGCCAGATTAATGTGTTAATGTGTTCGCCAAGATATCTGAAAACATGATTTGAGATTTAATTAAATCTTTTTTAATTTCAGACACAAAAAAGGAAAAGATGATGAAACGTGTGGCGGGAAAGTGGCGAGAGAAATTATGTTACATGTTAATTTTATGAAGTTGATATTAATAGTTTTAATTTATTTGTTAAATCAGGAAAGATAATTCCTTAAATCATGAAAGAACAGTAGAGTATTGGAATTTCGGGAGGGGCGCCATTCGATTGAAAATACTTCCACATGTTAATAAGATTTCTGGGCAATTTTGTCATGCAAGCCTATTTTCTGTTGATAATATCACAAACATTATATAAAATATTTTTGAGATTCTCCGCCTTTTTCATTTTAAAAGATTTATTTCACACAATACCGAAATTATTCTTTGTATTTTATTTGTAAACAAAAGAAAGTTCTTTAATAGCATTTTTGGTATATAAAAGTTCTATTACCTACATAAATGAGATTATTATAATGTAAACGTTTCCTCATTAATATAAATTAGCAACGGCCTCAATGAGATAGTGTGAATGTATTATTCATGTAATTTGTGATTTCTAGTCTTATTCTACTATCGAAATCTTTATTTTTATATTTTTATACACGTACAACCAAACAGTTCGTGTATACACAATTTCAATCTGCAGAATAACTCGAATATAGCAGGCATTAAAAATGAATGCAAAAAATTATACTCAAAAATTACTCTAGTGTGGTGTTGCCAATGAAGGTATTTGTTCATATTAAAATTCAATATAACGAAAATGGTGTAAGAAATTTTTTTCGTTCATTGAACATACATTGGTTGACGGTGGCTTCAAAAAACTAAAGCAGTATAATTTAATTAATAAAATTTGGATATTATTAAAAAAGTGTTAACTGGTCAAATTTACGAATGGCTTCTTCACGTCCAAAAAGGCTTGCAGCTCAAAAAGCTAAAACAATAGTTATTGAAATATCTGATTCTGATGAAGATGTTTTACCAACAAAAAAACAAAGATATGAACAAGATAATTCATTTTGTGAACTTGATTATGCCCAAAATAAGCATGTGAGGTAATGTATATTATTACTATTTTTGAAATATGGAACATTAATAAAATTTTATTTATGATAGATCAAAGAACCGATGGCCTGATAAAGAGAAAGAAAATCTCCAATCACTTGAATCTAGCAAAGAAACAGCTAGAAAAAAAGGCGGTATCACGAAGCAAAATAATGAAATAAATGGAAAAGAAATTAAGGAAATAAACAGCGATAACATATTAATTAACAACATTGATGATGGAAGTATAAACCGTATACCAACTAATCATGAACACAATGAATTTGCGGGTCAAACTATAACTCAACATACGGGTAGAAGTTCTTTTTGGGGTAAAAACATAACATTATAACATAAGAATCAGAATCTTCAATTAATTAATTTCTCAATTTTAGCTAGACGAAAAGTTTGGAATGTACATGAATTACTAGCTGAAACGGAATGCATTGAATTGAATGCTGCACAAAATATTGTAAATTTGTTTAACAACGAAAACACTATACCATTTATATGTCGATATAGAAGAGATTTAGTAAATGAGATTAGTCCTGAACGTTTACGTGACATTAAAAACTCATACACAGAAATTTTAAATTTACGGAAGAAGGCTGAAAATATTGTCAATCAACTCGAAAAAGATAATATAATTAATGAAGAAATACGCATAGAAATGATGTGTGCTAAATCACCGGAAGAACTAGAGTTCTTGGTAAGCATGAGAAGTAGTTTAAATTCTTTTATATAATTATTACTTTCAGTATGCACCTTATAAACCAGCTAATAAGGGAACACTCGCAGATAGAGCTAAGGCACTTGGTTTAGAAAAATGTGCGAATCAATTATTGTTAGGAGAAGGGCCAAAAGTATATTTAAGAAACTATATTGATCGTAATAACAGTAATTTAGATGATGAAATAAAAGTAGAGGCCGGTATAATACATATTGTATCCCATATTATAAGTAAGCATACTGGCGTTTTAGAGCAACTAAGAAAATTGTAAGTTTATTTTGAATTGTGTTTTTATATATATTATATATAAAAAAAAATTTATTCAAAGGCAAAAATCAACTCAAATATTTCTAACAAGTACAAAATCAAAAACTACTTTAAACAAAAATACGGAAGCGCCAACAATTAAAAAGGATGCAAAATCTGATATAAGTAAATATGAAAATTATTTCAATTTTCAGTCTGATATAAGACATATTAAACCTCATCAAGTTTTGGCTATAAATCGGGGCGAAAAACAAAAATTTTTAAGTGTTAAAATAATAATTGCTGAAAATTTTAAAATAGAAATAAAACGGTACATTCATAGAATATTTATGGATGAAGGTCTCCAATATGATCTACGTGATCGGATTTTTGAATTGTCATTTGAAGACTCATACAACAAAAAATGTATGTTTTACCTTAAAAAAAATAATATATTTATGGAAAGTTTTATTTATTTTCAATATTTAGTACAACTGTTAACATCGCGACAAATTCGTGCCGATTTAAATGAGACCGCTAAAAAAGCTTCTATAGAAGTGTTTGCTAAAAATTTAAAACAACTTCTATTATGTGCACCACTAAAAGGCGAAAAGATATTGGGTATAGATCCTGGATTTACAAATGGATGTAAATATGCCATGATTTCTGAAACTGCTGAAGTTCTTGAAACTGGTGTTATGTATCTGCACACGAGAAATAAAGATCCTGCGATATATGCTGAACAGTTAACGAAATTGTTAACAAAACATAAGTAATTACTTCAGAAATATGTGTGATTTTTTAATTAAATAATTTTCTTAATAGTTGCAAAGTTATTGCATTAGGTAACGGAACTGCTTGTCGTGAAACAGAGGAGTGGCTTTCAAAATTAATTTGCCATAATATATTAGATCCAAGATTTATACGTTACAGCATAGTGTCAGAACAAGGTGCTTCTATTTATTCTTGTAGTGAAATTGCCAAGAAAGAGTTTCCAAAAATGGATGTTAACCAAATAAGTGCTGGTAAGTGTATCGATATACAATACAATAATTCGATGTATTTGATTTCATTTTTAATTTTTTACAAATTAATTATTTTTAAGTTTCCATTGCAAGAAGACTAAATGATCCATTAAGCGAGTACGTAAAAATTGAACCACGTCATATTGGGGTCGGTATGTACCAACATGATATTAATGAGAAAGCACTAACAGGCTCCCTCAACGAAGTTGTTAGTGAATGTGTTAGTTATGTTGGTGTTGATATTAATACTGCCAGTATCAGTGTTTTAAAGTAAGTTTATAAAATATAAATTTTTTATTTCTGATCTTAATATCGGATGCAGGCATATTGCTGGATTGGGCGATAAGAAAGCTCAAAAAATAATAGATCATCGCCTTAAAAACGGACCATTTAAAACAAGAGAGGACTTGTTACAAGTAAAGCTAATAGGTGCGAAGACGTTTCAACAGTGTGCTGGGTAAGTTAATATGTGTAATTTTTTGTTATAATATTCCGAGTAGTTCTTCCGTTCTTCAAATTATCTATTGAGTTTACCTTTTTAATGAACTATATATGCATATGCATAGAATACAAAAAATGACTAAATGTAAACAACTTCATAGAATAGAGTAAGTGTGTAAATTGATCACAGTAGAACAGAATTAAAATTAAGATGATCAAACTTATAGCATAATTACAGATGAAATTGTGTTTAACAATAAATGTGTGAAGTTCAATGTCATGAAGGAAACTTTGTATTACATTAACCAGTTAAAAATAAAATCAGGATAGATTTGCTGTTGATTAAAAAATTAAAAAATATTTACCTATTCAAAATAGGTTTAATATAACGCGTAAGTGTCTCCATATAATTTCCCTCAGTAGTATTTAATGTCTTTTGACCAAACCAATTTATTGTATTAATCGCGATACTAATTTTTTTCTTATAACTAAATTTCTTTGTTTGTTACTCTTATAGATTTGTACGTATAGAACCCCTTAGTGTTGGTGGAAATGTTCAGAATTTATTGGACTGCACATGGGTTCATCCAGAAAGTTACAATATAGCAAAAAAGTAAGCATACATTTCTTAAATTAAATTTATTCTGATAAATAATTTAATTTATTTATTATTTGATTGTAGAATAATATCTATTTGCAAATTAAATTTAAAAGATATTGGTAAACCGAGTTTTATAGAAAAAATCAAAGATTATGAAAAATCCAATAATCTCAAAGAATTGTCAAATGACTTTAAAATTCCAATTGAAAGAGTAAGAGAGTATTTTAAAACTTTAAATACAAGTTATATTTGGATCTTTATTTATTAGTTGGAAATTGTATTTGTTGCTTTAAAACGTAACTTGCTACAGGATTATCGCCAAGATTTAAATAAAGGACCGCTTTTTAAACAAGGAATTAAAAATTTTAAAGATCTATCGATTGGGGATGTGGTAACAGGTAATCAATAAAAAATTTATATTCTTTTTGAATAATATAAGTCTGTAATGATTAGTGAATTTGCTTTTTATATATTTTTTAACTATGTGCTATCAATGATTTGCTTCCTTCTAATAATATAACTAATACTTAAGCAATAATTCTTACTGAATCAAACTGCATTTCCTCATGTACCTACAATATTTTTTAAATATATCTGAATTCTTAAAACGATTTATATCGCTATATATATCAACTATCCAATTAGTTTGTTATGTATTCAGATTTATTATTTCTATTATTATTCAGGTGCTGTAACGAATATTACTCATTTTGGAGCATTTGTTGATGTTGGTGTAGAACGCAATGGACTAATACACATAAGCAAAATGCGTAACATAAATTTAAATATTGGAGATCGCGTAACAACTTCAATACATCAGATAGATTTTCAAAAAGGGCGTTTAGGTTTAAGACTAGAAAAAGTATTAGCAGATATTGATCTGCTAAGTTTACCTGAGTAACTGTAGCTACTTAGCTTCTTTATTAGATATCAGCCCATTTAGGCTATGTCGTCAGCCTAGCCAGTTGTATTTCTTTATCTGTGCATTTTATTACAAGATTACAAATGTATAATATTAATTTTGGAAGTATTTATTGAGTTTTTCTGGTTTTAATATAACTTTTACATGTAATATTTGTATGTAAATGCTTTTTAAAGTTATAATGTATTCAATACAATTTAATATTTCTCATTGTTTTTTATCTAATTTTTAACTGCATTTATTTTTTAATACATCATTGGATTATTTTTGTAAAATACAATAGTTGCAATATGTATAATATGGTTAACTATTAAATTTATACATTTAAAATTTTATTTGATAAACAATTAAATTTTTAAATACAAATAGAGCACAAATAAAAATGTGTTCAAATAAATACAAATTATAAACTTATGTTATAATATTTAAATGCTAACTAAATGGACTTTGCCACACATTATATTTATTTAAAAACAAGTTGTATATGAATAGTATAGTTGTATACTTTATTATTAAGTAAAACAGTTGTAAAAAAATATAAACTAATAACTAAGGAACATAAAAGTTTAAATAAAAATCGTAGTTAAATTAATGAATATAGAATCTTTAAATTTATATATTTATTTGTTCGAAAATATATGAAATTGAAAAATATATATGAAAACAAAAAATTTAAATACAAAATTAACACTATAAGGTTATTTTATAATCAATATTATATTAATTTTTTATCATTTTAAATGATAATTAGGTAATGTTATGAGTTTCAATATACAAAAAAAAACATAAATTTATTGTAATCAAGGACAGATAACCCAACAAGTTGTCTTGATTAATACGCATTTACTTCGAGTTTTTTTAAACTGAAAATATATATATATATATATATTTGAATAATAACACATCAAAATAAAAAGTCAAAACAATTTTTGAAATTCAATTTCATTAACTTACCAGCCTTAAAATATTTTTAATATGTTTAGCAAATTTGTATCAATTATATAAATTTAATTTATCTCACGCTCCGTCAATAATTTTTTATTTCTTTTTTTCTGAAAAAACAAAAAGTATTTAAACAAATTAAAAGAAAATTAAATTGTTTATAGCAAAATAATATTTTTATATGTAAAAATTAAGAAGTAGTTTAATAACTTACTATATTTATTACATGCTCATTTAATATATTTAAAAAAAGAAAATGAAAAATAACTAAATAAAATATAGAGATATTTTATTATTAGGTACTCATAATAATACAAAAAGTGTATATATGTATATACAAATAAATATATACAAAATTTAAATAATTGATGTGGTCTTTGCAATAAACCAATATTGTTAATTAATTATATATTTTGAATTTAATTTTTTGAAGCTTTTTATTGTAATCTAGAAGCAATCTGGTTTAATAATTGTTTTGATTTAAAAGTCAAGTATATTTAGATTTTTTTACTACGCTCAAATTGTTTGATATAATGGATTCGCGCCGTCAACAATGTAAAAAATATATAATTAAACGTAACCGAAATTATTTTTAGAAATATTATAATACATATAAAGCATTATATATTGCTTTTAGCGTATTACAGTTAGAACTAATTAAATAAATTAAATATTTATACATACGAGAAATAAAATAAAATTTTTGGAAAAGCAGATAAAAAAATATTTATAAAATATTTTCATATGATTGGATTATAATAGTTTAAACCAATAATATCAGCATAATAATTTTAACTATATTTAATTTAAAAATTTATTTTTGTAAAGCTTGTTGTATGTGGTTATTCACTTCATTTTATATTTTGTTAACTCTTCAGTGTAAAATATTTAACTATAACAAAAATATCTAGAAATATGTTATATTTTTTACGTAATTTCAAGAGTTTAAATATTTTGATCATTTCCAAAATGTAAAATATTTTTTATTATTAATTAAATTTTAAAGTCTTCAGAAACTTTTAAAGATATTTTATTTTGTCAAAGCACTTGTAATTTATTATTCTATATCATTTGGATATATATATATTTTCTTTGTCGTGTAAAATAACAAACTTATTTCCTCTTTCTATTTGATTTTAATTTTATTAAATGCATTTTTCTGGTAAAAGTTCATTTAATACATTTATTTTAAGTTTTCCTCGCTTGTGGGTTTAATGAAAAATAAAATCCTTACTTAGTTTTCTTTTAATTTCCATTGCAGATTCTCAACGGAGAGTTTATAGAACCTAAAAATTGTTTAATACGGAAACTGTTTAGGATTTGAAAGGAATCATTTTTATCGTAGCAATTTCTAATACGATTATGTTATGCATAATAATTCACAACCCTTTAATATTATTAGATACTGAATTTTAAAAATACATAAAACTACTTCAAATATTTCAAGTAAAGAAAACTGTAAGTAGTATGTGATAAATAAAATTTTTAATAAGTAAAGTAATTGGAAATAGTAATGAAAAACTATATAAAATATACGCAATCCACCTCAAAAGTGACTCAACTAAATATTTCTAATTTGGTGGTGATATGAGAGATAAATTGAAAATTAAATATATATTTATATATAAATTATATATATATTTATATAATCAAAAAAGAAAAATTTTGAGTAGTATCACTTTTGTATTTATACAATCAGATAATTGTATGTTATATATGTATTTTAAAATAAAAAATTTTAATGCAATAGAAGTTAACTATTATTTGGATCTATAAAGCATTTACTTTGTAAAATACAAAATGAATTTCTGTATATATAAAGCAATGCAACAAAATCATCGTCTTTAATTTAAATTCGAGCAGTACACTTATTAATAGTGAATAAAAGCCATAAAATTTATATGTATGAAATAATTGAAATAAAAATTAAGATATATTAATTTACAAACTAAATCACACAAGCTGAGAAAACTCCCATTACACGTCAGCCAAGGTCCTGTTGCTGCTGTTGTTGTGCAGCAGCCTCAGAACGATTAATGGTATTACGATTATTGTACCTGCTTGCATTTTTTGATTGTGATTGTTGTTGTTGCTGCTGCTGCTGCTGTTGTTGTTGTTGTTGTTGTAATATAACACTATTTGCATTTGGTTCTTGTTGTTGAAGCCGTCCACCAATTGGAAAAGTATCTAACTCTTCGACGCTTGATATTTGCAGTTCATTTTGTTGTTGATCGGTAAGTAATTTCGTATGGAGTATAGTTACATATGTTTTGTAACGTCGCAACTATAAAAAAAATATTGCAAAATATTAATCTGAATAATTTTTTTAAATATTATAAATACTTCATATTGTAAATAGTTTTCCTTTTCCTTATAGTTCTGTAAAGGCAATCCTTTAGTTGGAATAAGACTTTTCTTATGTTCTGTCAAAGCATTTTCTAATTGTCCTAACTGTTGTTCATGTGATTCTAACTGTTCTTTCTGTTAAAATTTAAAATTTTTATATTTTAATATTTTAATTTAATATGTTTAATAGGTTTATACTTTAAAAATTTTAAAAGAAATTTTTGCATCTCTTCAACATACCAATAAAAACTTTGTATGTGTACTTGGCAGTAATGGTCGTTGAAAACGTTTTTGACTACCAACACCACCCTCAAGTGGTGGAGCTGAATAGGCTGCGCTAACAAAATTTATTGTTTCTATCCACGATTGCAGTTCTTTTGAATCACTAGTCTGGAATAAATACTCCGCTTGATCAGCAGTTTGTAAACGAAATACGTGTTGCTTTTTTGTGTAATCTGTCGCTTTAGTCGCTAATGCATGGTGAATACGAATAGCATTATGTAAATTATCTGACATCTAGATATAAAAATCAAAATTTAAATCATCATTTATTATCTTATCAAATCATTTACTTTTTCAATTATTAATTAATATTAATAACACATACTTGATTTTTACGGAAACCATGCTCATCCTTATGTAAAAATAATACTAAGTCTCTTAGAGTACAATAAAACATTTTCCACGAACGCTTTCCGAATGGAGCTAAGTAATTATTATTATTATTATTATTATTTATTAAACAAACTAAAATATTTAAAAATACAATACTTTTCTTGTAATTGGAATCAAAACAACACTTGCGCATGACATAACCTTTTTTATACTCTATAGCGGATGAAGACTCAGGTAAGTCTAGGAATGGATTTTGTCCTACAGAGCAAGTATTACCAGAACTAATAATCTCATTGCGCTGCTTTTGTAAGTCAGGCGAGTCATCGTCCCTAAAACAGATTTAATAAAACGGGTTAAAGTTTTCAGTTTTATTATTCACAACTGCATTACTTACAATGCCCACTGTAAAGGTTGTGCTTTAATTGCTTGATATAAATGTTTTAATACGTCTTTGGGAAAATTTTCGCCATCATTAAGCTCTGCTAAATTATCAACGAATTCTGTACATGTCATTTTTCTTCCAATGTTTTGACCGTGCAAATCAGTGTTTAACAGCATTATTGCACAAGTCAACGTATGGACTGCATCTGTAAAATACAATATGTTTTATTGTTATATATGCGGAAAAAATATGTTGTAATGAATTACCTTGGGAATTAAAAGATTGTGGATTGCAATCTAAAAATCTTTTTGAAAAATGCACCAAAACTCGCTCTCGTTCCTGTGTTTCACCAGAAAGAGAAAATTGTTGCAAAAACTCTCGCAACGCTTGATCTAATGTGTTATATTCAAAATTAAAGTATTTTAGATACTCATCTGCTACAGCCCGGCTAAAATCGTTGCTAAAAAAGTAATACTGATAAATTATTTTTATTTATATGCAAATAGCGAGAATATTACTTTTTGCTTAAATGGCGCGATACATCGCTTTTTTTAAATCCGTCAAGAGAATATAGCCTCTTTGCCAACCTTATCGCAGAAGGCATATCTACAGCCTTAGGTGAATAGTGATATGAGTGTAACGATTCAACATCACTGCCATCATCTGAAACGGGAGGTGAAGAGTCCCGGTCCCGTACATCGTTCTGTCCGCCACCAACAGTTGCCAAAATTGTAGTCGGTGGTTCTTCAGTAAGTGTAGCCAATTCATCCTCAGAGTCTTTTAACTCAGAATAAACTGAACGTGGGGAGGCACTATTACTACTATCAACGCCACGTACTTGTATTATTAACCTATGCTCCGACTGCTGTGATTTTTGTTGGAATTTTTGTTGTTGTTGCTGTTGTTGACGTTGTAAGGCAGCATCAGATACTAAAATTGTTGAGTCTGAATCACTTGGATCACTAAGAACCATTCCGCCTAAAAGATCGCGAGAACTTAATAAATTATCATCGTCTTGATAATCAGGACTTGAAATATTTGAAATTGCTTCGGAAACACTATGATCACCACAACCACCACCACTACTATTCATACCACTAACTAAACCAATGCCTACATTATTACCACCAACACCATTAATAGGGCATTGTAACAAACCAATTTGTGAAGTACCAGTTGTTGATGTTGGAGTATTCGTCGCTATGCCATTTGTATTTGTCGTACCTTGCTGTTGTTGCAATTGTGGTTGTAATAAATGATTGCCATTTAAGTTGCTATTTATTCCAATTGCTCCCTTCGAACCAGAAGATGACATTACGCTACTGGATACTGAAGTTGGCGATGCTGGACTTCCAGCCGAATTTTGTGGTGAAGAGCTTAAAGAACTTGAATGGGAATTTGGTGAAGACGTCTGACCGTAATGTGTTACATACTGCTGATGTATCAATTGATGTGGTGGAAGCGGAGCATTATAAGTCCAAACTATACGATCGCGGTTCGAGTCCTGCGAAAATATGAATTTTAAATGTAAACCAACAAATTATAACATATTTAATATTTTATCATACAAATTAAATGAATTTTGTCAAACTAAATTTATACTAAGCATAAATATTATTTAACTCCAACTTGTTAAAGTAGGTTTTAACTAGTTCTGATTATATATCTAAACTACTTTAATTTTAATACTAAATAATTATTGCATAGCCTCACTTTCGACATCCGATTTTATAGCATGTTTATATTGTTTTTTTTTTTAAATACATAATTTTAGTAAGTACAACTTTTTAAGGTAGCGTTTTAATAATTATAATCCAAGATATTGTATTATTATTATTAAATTATTAAAGTAAGTGCTTAACTTATTTTTAGCTGTATGGTAAAGTAACATGCAAATTTACTAATCTATTGTAAATTAAAATCTAACTCTAGAGTTCATTATTAAGTTTTTAACTTTTTAGGTGTGTGTAGTTTTAACCTTTTTATATAATTTAATTCTGTTTGGAGTTGTATTTGTCGCAATAGTCAATGGTGTTGCTGTTATTATTGTTGATAATTTCAGGTTATCACAATCATAGATTGGGTTGGATTCATCTGAACATTTCAGTGGAACCAACGTTTTCAATTTTTGGCGATGTTTTGCAGATATATCGTGTTGGTCGAGTGAAGTACTCGGCGAAGAATTAGCACCTAAACTTAACTTTATATTTTTAACAATTATTGTAGATGCACTTGACGATGTCTAAAAAACAGATACAAATACAATGCAAATAAAGTATAAACTAGAATTAAGAAAAACAACAACAAAGAAAAAAAGGTATTTAAAAAATAATAAAAATGTTTCTCAGGCATATTTTACCTCTGAGGTAAAACTTATAAACATTTTGTTAATTGAAAATAACAGAAAACAATAAATTTATTTAAAAAATAGATTTGTATTAAAAATGATTAATTTCAAAATACTATATGTTCACATATATATGCACACTTTGTTGTTTTGTTGTTTTGTTGTTTCACAATCTGTTTGCTTTAAAATTTTTGTTGCTAATTTAGTAGATTTCGCACATGGTTTTCAAGTTTTTATAGAATATAATTTCTTATAAGTTTATTTGTTTTTAAATGATATTTTATTAGAAATTAATAATTTAGAAACTCTAGTACAAGATATAATAACGAAAATGATAAATAATGCTATTTTTATTTCTGTCACCAGCCAAGTATCACAAAATCAAAAGAAAAACTAAACTCAAAAACTCTTCCAATTACATCCAGTTTCATTTTATGCAATATAAAAAAAAAATTTGAGAATTAAAAAGTAAAGTTAACAATTTTTAATAACAATTTTTTAAATTTAACTTAAATACACATAATGATTTTTAACTAACCTGTGAGTCCTCTGAGTCTTGCCGTGTATCCAAAAGAGTGTTTAAAGAACTATTAACATCTTCGTCAATATCAATAGGTATCACGGCAGCAATTCCTTCACGTTGTATTTGTTGCAAATGATCTTCAGATTTACTGGTTCTAAAACCGGCAGAGTCACATTTCCGTACAATACCATTATGTCGACGTACTACGCCACTTGTATCATGTGTTGCAGTTATACCAGTACACATAATTCGATTTCCACCACCAACAGCTCCTAAACTAGATGGTTCCGGACTTGTGGGCACTGAATTTGATGTTTCTTTTTCTAAAAGCGGTGTAGATAGTGAAATTGGTGATGTGGGCACTGAAAAGGATGTTTCATCCTGTGATGTATTTATATTAATCACATCACTTTTTACTGTTGCCGATGATGATGAAGATCCCGAACCATGGGTTCTATAATGTGGTGACCTTGAATAGTCTACAGAATCGCTACCTACTCGTTTGTGTTCATCTAATTTCTGTCGTAATGGATACACCTTTTGCTTTAAATTTCGCAAACGATGTTTAGTTGACAAAGACGCAAATGAATTTGTAGTTAAATCTACATTTTCTGTTAATTCTTCATCGCCATTATAAGCATCTACAAGACAATGTCTATCGCTCGCTTCTTCGTGTATATTATGAGTAATTCCTCCGCTGTTATATGTTTCAATATTCGTAATATCATACTGAGTTTGATCCTCCTCATTGTCACCAACAATTTCTTCAAATTCATTCTCTTTGCAATTGCGTCCCTGACGATAACGTATGCGACGTTGGTTATGGCAATGAATACTATTTTCTTCCAACAAAATATCAGTATGTATTTCTTCTTCCAACAAATCTCCTACTTCATCTTCATCCTTTTCTAGATCCTCGCATAACAAAAGTGTATCATTTGTTAAAGAATCTTTTCTATATGGTCGATCACCTTCACTATTGCTATTATTGTAGCTATTATTAATGCTATCCCTTTGCTGTAATAACTTATTCTGACTTATGTGCTGCTTTTGTTTTATTTTTTGCTGTTTTTGCAAACTAGCTAACTCTCCAGAATTTGTCGTATGTGTAGGAGAATCAACAGATGAAGAAGAAGTTGGAGACGATTCACCAGATGCACGTGGTGCTAGGGCTCCATTAGTTCGAGAACTTTTACCAACACGATTTGGAGAATCTCGTAAGCTATCAATCTTTAAATTATGTTAAAGAAAACAAAATTTCTCATCAAAAAAGTATAATATTTTTAATTAATTTTTGTTATTTACCTTTTTGGCATGAGTGGTTAGTATATTGCTGGTTTGTGGAGTTCTTGATAAATTTAAAATTAAATCACCTGTCATCATATACGCTTCAAAACGAGGTGCTTTAGCGAACTGCGGTGGTGCAGATATTGGTTCTGTATCTCGTTCCTTTTGTTCTTGTTGTTGTGTGTTATTAGTACTGCCACTATAACTATTAGAATGTTGTAAATTATGTGTATTTGCAGATGACGCACCGTTGCCATTTGCTCCAGGAGATGTTTGTAAAGCTTTTGTTGGAATTTGAGAAGGTCGTAGACGTTTATGTTGAGGTGAATGTTGAATTGGTGATTTTTGTGGACATTTTAGAGCGGTTGGAATGCGTGAAGGACGACATGTAGGTGATGTAGATTGATTTGTTTCAACGAATTGCATATTAGCAGATGAAGTAGAGGAGCTGCGACTATGATTTGCAGGGTTCGTGGGGCGGTTAGTCGGCAAGGATGTTGGTGATTTATAACGTACCGTCGTAGAAGAAGCATTTGGACTTATGTTTGTGTTCATATTTTCGATGTGCAGTTCATATTCATTAATTGCCTGTGAGTTATTTGGTGACAATCTTTCATATATATTTGGAGATTCAATTTCAACATAATGTGGACTTGTTGTGTTCGCTAACTGTTCCTTTATACGAGCTTTCAATTTTGGATCTGAAAACGGGATTTATAAGAAATTATTTATAAGAAATACATAATTTACATTTTATTACCTCGTCTTAATTCCAAAGTAACGAGATCATCAGATAAGCGTAAACATTTTAAAACTAAAATAATATACATATAATTAAAAAATTACTCTAATTTGTCCGTTTACCATTATATAAATTTACCTTCCTTCGTTGTATATCGATGTACATCGGTTCCATTCACTTTTAAAATTACATCACCAGCTTCAACCTAAAATATAACAAGAAAAATTCTTAAATATATAAAGTAAAACTGAAAATATTAAATTATTTGCAATAATTTTATATTAAATTTATTTTTTCAAAATGTTTTCGTTATTATTCTCGGTTATTATTCCACATTCAAACCTAATTTATTAAACATCATAACACTGATTGATATCTGTAGATTATCTAATATATAGTACGTAAGTGCAACCTCAGGCACAACATCCTGAGGTTTATTCTGTTGCTCTCATACTATTAGAGAGAGATTTTCAGCAATTTTATGTTACAGATATTTGTTCAATCGATTAATTCTACTTTGTATGATCTACTTTGTATGTATCATAGGCCTATATTGAGTTTTTTCTAAATGGTAGGTATGATTTCGATTTGAAACTAAACAAATACGATGAAGCAAAGATGGTGTTACTTGAAAAAATTATGTTTTTAAAAACGCTTTTATATTAGAAAAACTACATCTTAAAATATTTTTATATAGTGTAAGACTTATTCGGCAAAAAGGCCAAAAATGTTTCTTTAGTCCAAGAAACGGAAAACCGTATGCCGTGAACGGAAATATAACCGCGATATGGTGCCAAAGAAAAATCTACATAAAAAAAAACTATTTTAAAAAAAATCAACTTAATTTGACATCTATTTAAGCACAATGTCATTGGTACAATAGAACTCTTTTGGCCGCTGTACCGGCTATTAGGCGAATTCACGCCACTAGCTTAAAAAAGCACAATGTCATAATAGGCTTCAAATTAAAAGTTATTTAATGGAATAATATCTGATATATATGACTTAAGCTACATATATGAATCGTTTTAAAAATATTGTATTTTTTGGTAGAACGATCTCATTAACACTGAAAATGCACCCAACAGTTTGTAAATAAAAAAATATGTATAAGACAATTTCAAATCAACCAACTTTATTTTATGTTATTTTATGCGTAATAATCAATCGAGTACGAGTTATTTACGTATTGAAATGCCAATAAAATTGGAGTAAATCAAAAGAACTGAAAGTCAACTCGTCTCTGATATTAAAACGGCTTAAAAAGAGTGCAAAAATCCTAAAAAGCATTATTTAAATTAAAAAAAAATTTGTTCTGATATTTATATTTTTCTCTTAGTGAAGTTACCTAAAATTCTTCTTTAAAACGTCGTCATTTTGAAAGTTTTTTCTGTCTTATAAGTCAATAGATCAAAATTAAGTAGTCTAATTGAATTAAAGAGAAATTTTGTTTTCCGCTATGATTCATTAAATTGTTGTTTTTGTTATTTGAAAATAGGAGCATTTGTCAGTTTTTGACTATTTAATGTGTGTATATTATAACTATAATAAGAAACATATGTATCTAAAACTGGTGTATTTTAGAAATATTTATCTTATAAAGCTTCCATACGTATCCAGCAACACATATAAAAATGATGCAATAACTTTCAACCAGTAATATTGCATGGAAAAAATTAATTCCACAATAATGTTTTTCTTCCGTACTATGTAGGATTAATTCTTATATGTGATCTGTTTTTATTAATATCCAGCATGGCCCAATTGAACTGCAACTTTTTAGTTGAATGTAAATGCCGAGCTTGGCTATCAATATACCGTACACTGAAACATCGAGTGAGATTATGTTTTATGTCCATGAATGCCACTATATAATTATAATCAAGAGTTTGATGTTGTATTTTAGGCTTAGTTGGTTCCAATATGATGTGTATGACAGTACTGCCCACGGTACCACAGTACCTTTATTGTACCTTTGTGGTAAACTTCGACACAGTTCAAAAACAGCAACGGATAGCAACCATCTCTTTCACTTACGCCCAAACTAACATAAACAGTGGCTTTTCACTACTTATGGCCATTTGATATCGATTGATTTGTTTTTAAAATGCTCAGTTGTAAGATTTTCTCTTTACAAACGAAGAGAATTATAAATTATGGTTGAGCAAGCTCAACAGCTTCATCGTTTTATTAAATCAACATTTTTTTTAATATCAATAAAATCTTGGAACTTATAAGACCTGGCTTTGTTTTGGTTATTGGGTATTCAAGTTAAACATATTACATGGTATTTTCCCATAAGCAGTATCTAAGCAGTCAGTTGGGTTCCCTGCGAAACGAAATTTTTCGATTTGATTCTAAGTATTTATGCAATTTAATGAATAAAAAAAAAAAATAAATCGAACTAAATCAAAGCTTAGTAAGACGTACCAAAAGTTTATCAACAATGTTCCTCGTCTATTTTCAGATAACCTTCTAACAGTTACAAACGCTTTAAAACAAAACAGCATCTATCCCTCGAAACTACTTGTTTTCACAGACAACTAGGTGTCGTTCGTCAGTCACCAAAATCAGGAATACAAATATATGTGCTTGGCGTTTGTTGTATTTTATGTTTTCCCAAAAGGAAACAAGTTCTGGCCAACTTGCTTTTCACTTATTCGTAAGGGTCACCCAAAAAGTTCCAAGGGTACTGCGACTTTATTGATATGTAAATAATTGACACATAATGATAACAGCGAACCCACGAGTCAACGATTTATTCTTACAGGTCATAGGGTTAATAATATTTTATTGGAAGAAACTCTAATGAGATTAAAACTATCTGCTTGTCACTCAACTTCCAGATGATGCACTAGCTGCATTTTGCAGTATACCTCAGATATTGCTTAGTATCTTGATGTGTCTAGTTGCATTCGCGTATTGTATTTGATTTTCATGCTCAACAATTTTGGTGGTTTTCCAACCTATCATCCGATCGATATGGCTTACTAGCGGCGTATTTGAAACTCAAGAAGGTGAATCTTTATTTGGTGAACTAAATAAGAATTCATCAACAAAAGTAATGTCTAATTAAACAAGCTCATCTTTTTGTATTTTCTTACAGGCCAAGGTTTGACTGCACAACGACTACAACAATAGTAGCAAAATTTGGTGAAACTTCTCATTTGGGTGTTTGTAAATAAAAAAGCACAGCATATTTGCATTCTACATACTTCCCAATTACCAGAGAAATCAAGCAGAGTAAATACTAGAATCTTACTAGATTTCATTAATCGATTAAGATTAGATGTAGTCCTATTACTAGTAATTTAAATGCTAAAATTTGAGGTAACAGATTACGGTTAAACATTATTTCACTAGATTAAACATTTTAATTTAAAATAAAAATTTTTAACAAAAATTGATCGGAATTAATTGATCGGAATTTTATACAAAATTTAACTTTAAAAAACATGTATGCAAACTAATTCATATTATATAAAAGTTTGAAATATAAACATAAAATTTATTGATATATTTCATAAAAATGATGTTATGACTTTCGGATAAAATATGTAATCTGATTACTGCATACTGTCGTCATCAAAAAGGATGAAGTCATGCACTGCTATCAAAACATTATTAAGCATAAACCAATCAATTATGAATAATCTATTAATATTAATTTATTTTGTATTTTAGAATTTTATATAATATATTTAATATTAATATTCTTATGTGCAAACTTACCGCTCCACAATCCGCAGCTGGTGAATTTTCTACAATGTCAAATATAACATGGGGTGGACCTGTCGTTCCCAATAAAGAAAATCCAAAGCCAGAGTGTTCGCTACGTCTCAACACCACTTTCAGTTCTTCAGTCATTTTGATACCAAACTATTACACAAAATTTATTATTGCTTTTTTACTTCAACAGTATTGCAAATTAATTAATTAATCAATTTTATTAAAGAGACATTTATGTTGTTTTCTATAATTTTAATTTCGCTTTTTCTTTATTTCTTTAACATTTGTTTGCTGTTGAATACGAAATGCTTGACTGGATTTTTGGGCGTGTTGTACTTTATTCAACTGTTCAGTGTCGCATCTACTTTCACACTTCTATTTACTATATTCTAATAAATGTTGTTCCTTTTATTTTAGATAATTTATCAAAAAAATCTTAAACATTAAAGCATTTTACCAGGAAATTAGCACAATTTTTTCAATTATTCATATAACTTTCTTTAATATTTTATCCGATTTTTCAGCCTTGTATTAAGATATATTCCAAATCTTCTTTAATTTAAAAACACTTTCCTTGCTTCATCTACACACATTAAATAAAATAATTCTTAAAAATATATTGTTTAAATTTTTTCACCGATCGCTGTTTCTTTTTTCGTTGAACAACTTTTTAACTCCAACATTTTCGGTTTTTTTATGCTTTTCTTTCTTGTACCAAAAATTTAGTGTTTCTGCATTCATTTTGAAAAGTGTAGCAAATACATAAATATGTAGAAAAGTGTATGAAAAATCCTTATACCAAAAGATGTTATTTTACACGAAGCACTAGAATAATACACATTAACTTTTTATTACTTTTAAATTTGATATATATCTAATTAAAATTATTTATAATTAGAATTATAAAATTATGTTTGCTTATATTTTAAATTATCATAATATAATAGAATAAAAGTATGAAATAATACACATAATAATTTATTAAGCACCGCTAACACTGAGCTTCAAATTTGGCAGGACACGAGTTCGATTCCTGGTACTTACAGTCTCAAAAAACTATTTACGAATAATTAAATATAAGAAATATTTCCAAGACCACGGATGATAGGTATTTGACAATATTCAAACAGCTAAATGGTCAGCCAAAAATTGAATTAATTAAAATAGTATAAAAAAGAATTTTTGTTGTTGTAGTTTGCTACTTTTCGAAAAACGTTTTAAAAAAAAATATTTAAAACTAATTGTTGATAACGCAAAAATGTAATTGGATATTTATTATTTTATTGAAATAATCTTGCATAGAAAATGTATGTCATGCAGCATTAATTAGTGTGGCAGTATTACTTCTTCTGAGCACATGTATTTATTTGTCAAAATTTGATTAATTTAACACAGGTACAATAAGTACTTAAAATCAACTTGGGTCAAGTGTTCCATTATCTCAGCATTATATTATCAAACCCTTTGCATATTTGTACACAAGTATAGATATTACAAACAATTGCAACAGATATATTCATAATAGTATTGAGAAATTGTTGTTTGTCTTGATACCGATATAACCATTAGCATATTAGAGGCATTCATACGTTCCTTGGTAACTCAATAACGTACTAATAAGTAGAGTGACAAAATGACAAACGTCTTAAGAACCCTTTGCAATTCTTTCTTAAAAGTTGTAAAATTAAAACTGTAAAATGAACTAAATGTTAAATGTTGTGCTACGGAATTCGAAAAAATGATGAGATGAGATATGTTATTGAAGTTGTAATGTAATAACACCAAATATTTATAGAACTTTACCACTTTATGAAACACACATAAATATTACATACTATAGAATTATATTTCAATGTAGTATAGAAATTATGCATGGAAATTGAAACGATGGAAATAATAGAACAAACTCAATACTCTAGAAATTATCATGTAGTCATCATTTAATCTAAAGATAATCAACTCAACCAACAAAAACTTTTTTAATCGCCAAAATATAGCGCTATAGCATCACAAAATTTATCTAAATATCTTGATATGATTGAAAAGTGGCTTGCTAAATGAAGAATCAAGTTTAATGAAACTAAATGCGTTCAAGTAACTTAATTACAGGGAAGTAATTCCCTGTAATTAAAACCAATAATGTGGATGTTGCTTAATCACTTTCCAGGAAGTCACTTACAGGAAGTAATTCCCTGTAATTAAAACCAATAATGTGGATGTTGCTTAATCACTTTTCGTGAAATAACTGGGAATACATGTAGATAGAAGGCTCACGTGGACAAGTCATATTGAAGCCAAAAGATGCCAATTAAATCTTAAATATATAGAATTTTTCTAGTAACTAAATCACAACGCTTAACTGTGTCGATAATAAATTGTTTATTTACAAATCAATATTAAAGCCAATTTAGAGCTATGATATAGAACTGTGTTGTTCAGCGTGTAATAGAAATATAGAATAAATTCAGAAAATACAAAATAAAATTCTCCGACAACCTACAAAAAACTATAAAAAGATCTATAATAAATCTATTAACTATTAAAGAAGTAATTCGCCAATATACACCAAAATTCCTAGAGAGACTTAAGTTGCATTCAAATCCTCATCTTCGACATTTATTTTCTGCAACTGCACTAAACCGCTTTAAAAGAAAATCATTGATAAACATGAGTACCCTACTAACCCAATACCTAGCATACATGTACGTTTTTTAAGATTCTCACAATTATTGTTTATTTTTATTAAGAAATTAATTTCTATTTAAGAAATAAAACATTGAAGAAAACAATTTTTTCTTGATTTGCACCACAATTTGAAAACAATCTGTTAGTTTTTGTATAAAAAAGCATTAAGCGGTTTGCCGTTCAATCTAATATTTTTAAATTGAAACTGTGTCAGCATATATCTTAGCAGAAAAATAGTCGATATAGTTGGAATAGTTGAAAATTATTCATTAAATTGCAATGTCTATGATTATTATTATCTTGAAAACCGTGTCGCTTTTCAGTATTTGTGAAGTTGAGACATTGTTTATAAAAACTTTTAAAAAAGTATTGTGAACGCATCCAAAACTTTCTACTGATGTGTCAAACATGAGAATGTAGGAATAATAAAATAAAATAAAATACTAATAGTGCTAGTTTCTACGGCATTTTATACGTATTGTAAATATAAAAAATAGAAAATGCAAGGGGTTTCGAGTCTTGTTAAATCAACAATACCTAATTACTTATCAAATTTGCCAATACCAGACTCTTTTACCGGATGGTTTAAATTATCATGTAAGTTGGTCTCTTTATACACATTTAATTAAAATAGATTTAAAATTATTACTACACATTCCTTTTGAAAAATTATAGAATTTAGTTCAATTGTAAATTAACAAATTATTCAAAATTATTTAATATAAATTAGTTTAATATACCTTAACAACATTTGTCTGCACTTATTATGCAACAAAACATGCACTGGCTATCAAAGTACAAAAAATAAAGTGAAAACAAAACTAGTTGTTCTTGTAGCTGCAAGTTTTTTGTTTTTGTTTTTTTAGCTTCGCAAAAAATATGTGTGGTCTGATATCGGGCAAGTGTTGTCGGTATATGATTGCATTTATAGATAATAAAATCTAAATAAAATCTAACATAAATTTTTATATAATTTTACTAATTATAAAAGATCATGAAATATTAATAAATAGAAATTTTTTTATTTTTTAGTCAGGGATTGGGTTACTTTAATACCACCTACAGCTGTTCTTGCCGGAGTAGGTTACATTTCTTATTTAGCATTTTGTCCCGCAGCGAGGAAATGTGGTGAAAGTGGTCGCTGTAATCAGAAGGTTAGAAAACATGAGGCTAAAGTTGTGGACATGATTGATATAGAAAATATAGCAGAAAAGGCTGCCTTCTGTCGCTGTTGGAAAACCAATAATGTATTTTTAGTATAGCATACTGAAGGATCTACCATTAACAAATATTTTATATTTTATATTTTTAGTGGCCTTACTGCGACGGAAGTCATACTAAACATAATAATGTAACAGGAGATAACGTTGGTCCGCTGGTGATCAAAGCAAAATAGATTCACTAAAGTTGCATTTGATACATATATATCAAAACTTTTCAATAAAGAATTGAGTTATAAAAATCTGCAAGATAATTTTGTATTTTTCATTTAAAACTAAAAACATATTGAATTAGATCTTATCCAAGTTATAATATTAATATTTATTCTGTTATTAAAACACTAAAAATAAATATGAATATAAATATATAAAAACTGTTGTAACATCTGCTGTTTTTTTAATGGTTTTTATTTTATGAAAAAAAAAAAAACGCTGAGCAAATTACATTGCTGGCAATGTTCCCAAATATAATATAAAATAAATAGAAGTTCAATTTTTAATGGAACTGTTCGTACAAAAAGGCATATTAACTTGAATGTATGGGTTTGGATTGCAAAGACACTTGTTATTGCCATTTATATGAAATAGATCTATTTATTTGAAGATTTTGCCTTGGTTGAATTTGCGACCACCTTTATCAGCGCCGGTCCAAGAAAAATATTGTGTCACCAAATTCTTTGTTTCCTCAGATTTGGCATCAAGTTTTTTCCATGAATAACAATCATAATCAATTTGCCAATCAGAAGAAAGTGTAAATGCTAAATCGTGTCCGCGCCATACCCACACTCCAGAAATAGTACTGTTATTGTCATCACCAAATAAGCAAACGGATGCGAATGCTTGTTTGCGCATTTTATCAAGACGTTGGAACATTCCAGTTATAAGATTGCAAGACATAAAAGTTTTAGTGAGTTCATCATTATATTTATATTCACCGAACCAAATTGAGTAATTTTCTGGATCGAACTTTTCCCAGAAGAATGGAACGGAAACAGATTCATCTTCATTAGAATAACACCGTTTAAATTCATCAAAATTGAATGTGCCTTTGGGCATCGCATCAAAGGGATCCTTGGATTTTGGTTCGGCCGCAAGAGCTTCATCTGCAATATCCATTTCTTCAACAGGTGCTGCCTTAACTTTTTCTGTTTTTTTAGGAACAGGTTTTTCAGTTTTTTCCTGTTTGTTCACTTGTGGTTTGCCACTAGTCTTAGCTTGGAATTCAGCATATTTTTTTGGATCAAACACAATAGCTTTCTCACATAATACATAATTCTTAATAACCTGCTTAACTTGTGGTTGATTAAGTATTGTAATAAACCAACGATTCACGTTGCCAAATCCACTCCTTACACTCGGTTCAAGAACATATTGGTAAACGTGTAAGAGAGATGTAAAAACTACTATATCAGCTAAAGTGATACGTTCTCCAACCAAATATGTTGACTCAACCAATTTATTATTTAACAGATCAAGTACAGCAGTTACGTCTTGTTTTGCGGTACTGTTCTTCTGTTGCGGCATAATTCCCAACAACGGGAAAACCCATGAACATGAGGCTGGAACAATTTCATTATCTGCATACGAAAGCCATTGCTGAACTTTAGCTTGTGCAAAAGGACAGTTCCCACCACGCAATTGTTCATTAGCTAAGAAGAAAGCAATTGCATTTGATTCGGAAAGGTAATTGCCGTTTGCAGTTTCGAAAGCTGGAACCTAGCGGAAAATAAAGATGATGTCACTGAAAAAAGCATGCTTGTACCAATAAACTTACTTTGCCGCTTGGAAATTTCTTAAGAAAGTCTGAAGTCTTATTAGTTTCCCCAAATACGAAATTCTCAGCTACTTTAACCTGGGCTCCTGAGTATTGAGCGGCTATTAGTGCTTTATATGCACGGAAATTTTCAGGGTAGGTATAAAGTGTCTATTTTACAATAAAAAGAATAAATTTATTATCGAGTTTAATCGCAGTATAATATATGGCAATTCTTTTATTATTTCAACAAATTAATATGTAAGATGTTGCAGATTTTTTTAAATTACATCTACTCCAAAATTTTACTTACTCCTGTCGCCATGGTTGTTTTTGCCGGAGAGAACGAGACTTGACAGACGTTGAATAAAGAAATTTTCGCAAATGTCTTTTTTGTTTTATTTGAAAAACAGTGTTGTTAATTCCGATCAATCATTTTATTTCATAAGAATACTCGTATAATTACACCTGATTTATATATATATAATGTTTCTAAAATTATATAATAATTTTGTTTCCAAAATTGATCAATTGGTCAATTGTTAAATAATACTCTTTTTTAAAAAAATTTAGTTTTTACTTCTGTATCCTAAAGATAATTATAGAATATAATTCAAATATTGGTGTAAATAAAAAACTTTTAAAAATCAAATTTTGTTTAAAAATATGTTTTATTTAACAATTGACCAATTAGCTCGTTTCAAAAATAAAATTATTTTTGAAAAATGTTAATCATTATAACAATAAATTATTAAAATTATATATAAAATATTTTTGTTTAAAATTATAGACGTAATTTTATTAAAGTAAAAAAGAACCAAGTTAAAGATAATAGTTTTATTTTAAATTGATACTGTTTTATTTTTATTTAATTTAAATTATTAAGTTTTCATATAAAGATAATGAAAAAATTAATACGAAAATTTCTAAAGTAATTACTTTAGTATTTATTTAGGTAAATGTTTGATTTCCTAGAGTAACATAATTAATTGGATATTAAAAACAATTTATAACATACAATAAACATTATAAATATATACAATGTACAATTTCAAGCTGTAATTGTTTTCTCCGTGAAATTATTACGAAATTACTCTCTTATTTTTTTTTTTTAATTCTACTAAAAAATAATAAATTTAATTTTCAAATAATTTGATATTTTATACGTTTATAAAACCGAAAACAAATTAAGACTAAGACTATATATGACTTACCCTACTTAATTCTATTTCTATTATATATTTATACAGTTCATACACATTAGACGTTTTCGGTGGTTAGCAAGTATGCGAAAAAATAGGACGTTGCTGGCCTATACTGATCAAAATGTATGCAAAACAACCACACTATTTTCTCGATCTAGGCCAGTAGTTGTATACTGGACACACACTTCGGCCAGCAAAGAAAATAGTGTTACCAGTAAAATAAGAGAACTATTGTGGACTTTCATTGGAAATTTCAACTAATATTTGCAATCATACATCATAATTACATGTAAACAAAAATTAAAATTTCAAAAAAAAAAGAAAAAAGTAAAATTCTAGTGTTTTATTTTGAAATTTTTAACATTTTTACCATTTCATTTAATTCTGTATTCATTTTAATTATTAATTTTATATTAACTATTTAGTTTTATATAAAATATAATATGTTCGCGTTATGTGCACATATGCAAGATTTGATATTTACCAAAACATAACACTGAACAGACTGCAACAGTGATGCGAATGTCTCGCTACACGAATATAGGTCAGAATGCGTTTTTTATCACATATGCGAGACCTTAAAATCGCCATCAATGTATTTAACACAATTAAAGCCTGATAATAACTCTATAACGTTAAAAATCATAAATTGTTACAATTCTCGTTTTAAGTAATTTGCTTATTTTATTCAATTCATACATTACTTATAAAAAGGATACACTTAATTAAAATAAATTATAGAGACATATGAAATAGTAAAATATTAATCATATTTTGCAATAAAAACAAAAATTTTACTGAGGCTAAATCTATACATCAGAAGGTTTCAGAATTTGAATAATTGAAAATGGCACTCTTCATCATTTTTATCTTATGTGAAATCTGGGACTAAATAATTTTTATAATATGTCAATTAACATTCCATGCGACATTTTAATTTACTATGATGTTAAATTTGAACTATGAAATCAGCTGTTGCTAGTTTATTTACATATGTGCAATTTTTTGGGGATTGTTTTAACTTATAGAATACAATAACTAGACTTTGGCAGTGGTTGTAGTTCCTGGTAAGATTTTTGGAGTATAAACGTTATATTATATAACGAAATTATATTTGAATATAAGTTTTTTCAAGTTAATTAATTAAAAATATATTATTATTTAGGGTCAAGTAAAAATTATCGGTGCAAATCATTGTTAACTTCAATTCCTATTAAAAATAGAACGTAATTTAATATATTGCATATTTTTACTAACAATAGTTGCTTGTTTATTTCAGGACTTTGTCTTAGAAGTTTTTTGTTATGGTTCAGTTAAAAAAACACATCAGTTCGGATCGGGGCTTTGCTTTAACAAGAATATCGTTTTTTTTTCGGTTTTCGTTCCGAAGAATATTTTTTAGGCATGTGTGCAACAAATTAGTTTTTCTATCATGATTAAAATCATTTTATTCATTCTTTTCAAACCATACTTGATGAATTTATTCAATAAAAAGACAAACTATAGGCTTATAGTTTAGTTTATTAAAATTTATGGTTCAAATCCCTAGTTTAGATGTTAATTTTAAAATATTGTAAATAATTATTTATTAAATTAAAAACAAAGTTAATTGGTCTGTAAATTAATTGCAAGGAATGTGTTGGTTCACATTATTTTAAAATATGTATAAGTAAATTTTAAGTAGTTTTAGTGCAAGCAGTTTTGTCGCATGTTTCATAGATGTAGCAACTACACGCCATTTCAATGGCTTGACATTACATTTCAATTAATTTCGCTTGGAACGTTGGAATTCAGAATCTGTCAAATATTCCAGTTGGACGTGTGAGAGTCTGAATTATAATTTTGTTATAAAATCTTAAAGTTGATAAAACTTATTTAAAAATATAAATGTATTTGTGTTTTAAAATGAAGTGTTTTATTTTATAATATATAATTCACACTGTTTAAATGTTAAAAAAAACAAGATGTAAGATATACTATGGCTAAAAATTTATTAATGAAAAAGGGAAAGCGTAACATTAAATAAATCATGCTATAGAGGGTGAAAAATAGAAAATCGATTCAAACACAATAGAAATATAAAAACAACGATAAAAACTGCGAAACTATGTAAGTTATAAAATAATGCTAATTATTTAAATAGATTTATTTCGTTATTATTACAAACGCAGAGAACAAAACTTTCTTTACTACCACGATGCGTTTTTTTATAATCCTGTTAAATTTGGTCACATTGACGTGAATAACGTTACTTAATAATATAGTTTTTTTCTGTGCAACAATTTAGTTTAGCTAGGTGTATATGTAAATACATATATCTATGATTGACACGTGATCTTCAATAAACAATAAATCGATAATTTATATTAATGATTTATATAGTTTTTAAACCGTATTTAACCAAATATATTTTAACTTTCATATTATTATTAATTTAAAAATAATATATAATTAGGAAAGAAATGTACAAGTCGAGCTATATGATATCTTTTCTATATTTTAGGACGTTTAGATACTCTCTACTTTATTTAATACAAAAATCCTTATTTGGGTTATAATTGGAATGATTTATATCAAAATAATTTATTTATGTAATAAATATTATATAATATGATATGGTATGTATGTAAAGTAAAAGTTGATGATATTTTTTAATGTAAATATTTAAATATTTATTATATTTATAACGTCTAAAAATATTGAGATATAATGTAAGTGAATTGCGTTATATGTGTAATAAATTTAAGATTTTATTTTTATATATTTAAGGTTTTCAAAAAATGCCCAGAAATGATGTGAAACAATTATGTAATGATAGAAAAAGTCTTCCCGGTTTATTAAATGAACGAACAAGAACTCGAAAATTTAACAAAACTTTAAGCATAAAAACAAACTCAAATGTGCTGACTGGAAGGAAAGGGAATATTATAAAAAAAGTGCCAACATACCATACTAAACATCCAGAGCAACTAACAGTTAAAGCAACTGCATTCAACACATTAAATCCCAATATCAATGTTGGGTTTTGTAATGTGGATGTCGAAAACGACTATACTGAAACTAATATATTTTCTACTCATTTTTATCCGGTTGTTACAGTAATTGTTAAAGATCCTGAAGCAATAGAGATTCAATCAATCGAGGACTCAAATTCTTTAAATTATAAGCTGCTAGATAATATTAGTGTAGACTCAAAATCTAAAATTGATAAAGTCCATAGTCATGATTTAACATTAAAAAAAAATAGAATATCTGTTTCTCCTGTAAAGTCTTTAAAATACAAAAATAAACCGAAACCTCTAATAACTAAAACTGTATTAAAATCAAATCATAGACTTAAGTCTCTGAGACCTAGAAAAAACGTTGCTGAAATTAACCGTAAAGAAATTGTTGTGCCAGATGTATTTAATGGGCCCGTTTGTTCAGGTTAGTATAAAATTTTGTTGTCATCTAATAAAATAATTTTTATTATTGAATTTATCACAAACTTAAAATATGAATAGATTTAGAGCAATATTTATTTATTTAATTTTTTTTTTGTTTTAAATTTCTATATTGTTTTTACAATGTTTATAATATTTTGTTTTACAGTGTTCACAGAAATTGATTCAAACCAACTAAATAAAATAGAAGTACTGGAAGAGTGTTTAGCAAAAGGTCCCAAGATTAAACGTAAATGTTCTAGCAGTAATACTTATCAATTTAAATCAAATAGAATTCAATTAAAAAAAGGTATTGAACAAAATAGTGATATTACTTTAGATAGTACAAATAAGAGAAAACGTACATGCAATATGTCACTCTATGAACAGCGGTACACAAACGACGATAGCCGAAATGTTGCAAATGGCTATGGAACATCCACACGAAGTTCTACCTCTGCTGTGCACACGGACATTGATGCACAGGAAATGTCCACACATAATCAATATTACATGAGTACATCAACTGCAGCTCTGAGTAGTAGTTCTACAAGTAATGTTGGTAGTTTACAAAGCATGGCAACACTTTGTAACATTGGAAATACTTGTTACTTAAATTCCGTTGTGTATACATTACGTTTTGCACCACAGTTTTTACACAACCTGCACCATTTAATTGCAGATTTGAGTACAATACAACTTAATTCAAAACAACGTTGCAAATCATCTTCTTTGGGACGCGGTATTAGTTCTATGCATATACGAAGTTGGAGTAATAAAGATTTGGCTTCATTAGAACAATATAATTATGTATCTAATGCTGGTAATGCTAGTAATCAGAAGTCGAGTCATCAATTGCTAACTGAGAAATTACATGAATTGTATCAAAACTTACATCATAATGAAATAGCTGACTCAACAGAACCTTTTCACGCTGACACATTATTACATGCTATACAGGATGTGAGTGCAATATTCGAGGGAAATCAACAACAGGATGCTCATGAGTTTTTGATGTGTCTTCTAAATAGCATACGAGAAACATGCCAAGTTCTTATTAAAACAATCGCAGAGTGTCCCGATATTATTACTAATGGGTATGAAAAATATTTATATACCATATGTATATAATATAATTTTTATAAATGTTAAATATTTTACTTTATAGTTATGTATCATATATGGATGAGCTAGATAATGGATATACGGCAGATAAAAATGTTGAAAAATCTCTTGGTATCAGTAATTCAACAAAGAACTCATTTTTGCGTAAAACAAAACGAAAAGAAGATACGAAAAACTCCAAAAATCATCGTGTGCAATCCCCGTTAAAGGAGTCAAGCAATAGTGGAATAAATAACTCCATTTCGAACAGTTTATTTTACCTGAATACTGTAGATCTTGCAAGCACAAATGCTCAAACAAACCATAATAATGCTAATGCAGTGAATTCATCTACTACATCAAAAAGTTTTTATGGTGATGATTCTGTAATAGCTACCACACTAAAGGATAAAGAACGTCTGACTAAAAAAATAAAAGATTTAGGTTTAGACTTTTTCAGTGAAGATTTTGAAGGAATCACTGTTTCAACGACAAAGTGCTTAAGTTGTGAAACTATAACAGAACAAAAGGAGAGAATGATTGACATTGCAGTTCCTGTACCAATATCGGGATGTTCAGATTATATGGAAAAATCAAATACGTTTATACAGGTAAAATCTATTATCAATATTGGTTTTTATTTTTTGCATATTTTGTATATTTAGGAAATGCAAAATCTATTTTAAAAGTGAAACAAAGTGTTAAATTTGGTTATTGGTTAATAGGTAGTGAAATAGGTATAGGATACGCGAAGTGAACTATCTTAAAAGGTAAATAAGTATTTATTTGGCTTAGAATACTTAAATAAACTATAATGATTTAGTTCACAAATTTTAGAATATAAAAACTTCTGTAGTTGAGATCGTCCTAAAAAGTAATATTAAGTACAAATTTTAGTATTTATACTGGATCTATAATGGATCTACTTAAGCCAAAGAGCTAAAAATGACTTCAGTTTGGTTGAAAACTACTTCAGCTTTGAACTTGAGATCTGTTTTCCAAGAACGTGAAAACGTGAGGTCACGTGAGTTGAGATCTCTGCTGAGAATTTCACGTTAGCTAAAGCAACGTTTCGTTTGAGAATAGGATAATATTCTGAGTCCAATTTTGCGACAATGTAAAACATTTTATCGTATTACGGCAAAATGCTGTTTGCTATTTAAAAATGTCACATTTGGAGTGACAGTTATTCCGTGTGATGTACCAATTAATTATCAGTTTTTGAACATAAATATAAACTAATTACCGTGCACATTTTATTTAAGAGTAATGTAAGTTGGCAATTAATTTCAACTTGAAAATTAATTGTTGCATTTATTGGATGTATGTTTAATTTAACTAATACATTAATACATACAATTAAAATACTTTTATTTTTTTTTACTTTTTGATTTAATTGTATTCTAAGTAGATTGTAATCTTTTTTAAGTATACTGAGTTTCTCAAGATTTTCTTAAAGCTGATTGAAAAAATTTGTAATAGTTTTACATTACTCAAAGCTTTCTCAAATGTGATATTATTTTATGGGTAAGAAACTCTACTTCGTAAAATTAAATCATGTTTCATCTAATGTTTCTAGCTGTAATAATTTACTTATTTATTTTTTTTTTAGAACTCCTGTGTAACACGAGAATATTTTCGTGGTGAGAACAAGTATAGATGTGAAAAATGTACGGGGTATACTGAAGCAATACGATCTATATCTTATGAAGTTTTACCGCGGCTGCTTGTTATACAGTTGAGTCGTTTTTCTGGTGGCATGGAGAAAATAAATAGCTACATTCCAACATCATTTACATTACAATGTTTTTGCGCGAAATGCTGTGAATTAAGCGATGCAAATAAATTACATATATATAAATTGTACAGTGTTATAACACATGTAGGCGCAACGATGTCAGTTGGGCATTATATTGCTTATACATGCTCACTTGATTGGGCAAATGAATATATTAATTGTCCTAAAGATCGACGTAACAATCAAACAGCTAATCAACATACGAACAATACGAATAGTAATGTTTTTACACAAGTGAATAGTAATGAACGAACACAAGGTAGTCAAAGTTCGAGTGCAAGTGCTGCAGCGTCTGCGATAGCGTCATCAGGTAGTAAACTCATAAAGAAAATGATTTGGAGTAAAGCTTCTAGCAGTGGAGATATGAGCAAAAGTATTAAAAACTCAAATTCGGCAAACAAAAGTATTACAAATGGAATAAGTAAAACCAATTTAAGTACAACTTGTAACAGTTTAAATTGCTGCGCTACACGTACTTGTGCATTTCAATATAACAACACAGAGGACCTTAGTGAAGAATCTTTACAGAATGGTTTCAATTATAGCGGAAATATTAACAATACAAATTATAACAATATGCCAACTAGTTATGGTAGTACTGGACGCGCAGGTATAAGAAATCCGTACAAACCAAATCATACCTCAACCGGAAACAGTGGTTCTGAACCTATTTGGTATATGTGCGATGATGATAAAATAAAAGCAATGACTCAAAAAGAATTTGAAGATTTATTATCGCCAACGCGTAAAATAACAATAACTCCCTATTTATTATTTTATGCCCGCTTTGATCTGCAGCAAGCTACAAATCAAACTTCCAAACAAATAACATCGTCTAAACCTACTTGGTCCAATGAGAGTCTAGCATCATATGGATTACAAAAAGTATAAAAAATGTTATAATTTAGAAATTCTAGGTTTTTATAGAATGTAAGCTATTTAAATATTAAAATAAATGATGACAAAAAGCAGTTAAAATTTATATGCTTGTCACATTAAAATATATAGCACTTTAGGACTATATATTATTCAATATTTTTTACATTACTTTGCGCTAGACTTTTGCTCTTTGAATAAAAGCAGTATTTACATATTTTGTTAGCCTTTTTGAAGCAAATATTTCTAATTGTTGATAGTATCATAACCAAATGACTGATTATATTTCTATTAAATATATTATTTAATGTCTGAACTATAAAATATACGTGAGCTATAAGTGTAATATGTGTAAAACCTTAAATGATAATATAAAAAAATTAGTTTAAAAAAGTAGATTTAAAAAAGGAAAACATGGGATTTAGAAACTATAAATACTGGCTGCCTTCCGGCATTTTAATGCGATTTAAATATATTTAAAGAAATTTACGTGGACTTAAATTAAAAAAAAAAGTATTTTAATTTACATAGAAATGTATAAGTAAAGTTAAAAAAATATATTTTATATATTTTATATTTACAATGGTTATATAGTTTGATTTTTGCTTTATTGTATAATTTTAGATTAAAATCTGTGTAAAATTTAATATGTTAATTCAAAATGAACTTATATTGAATTTGAATAAGTGTTTAAACTCATGTAGAGTTTTTGAATGAAAGATTCTTTGGAATATATTTTTTTACTTAAAAGGAGCTTACATTTCAGTGTTTGAATAAAACGCATGTTTATTGTGGTCGAAAATAAAAAGCTTAATAGCAATTTAGCATTTAAGCCAGTATTATTTATTTTTAAAAAATTGTCAAATGTTAAAAATATAATTATACATATAGCAATGTTTGTCTTGTGAAGAGAGGTGCATTTGTATTTCGAAGATTAATCTAGATTTAGTTAATACTTAACTCTTTTCAAAATAAAATAAATTTATATATATATTATTATGTATATATAAATAATACATAAATGAATGACGTTGTTAAGATATTATTAACGCCAAATATCTCAAAATTGAAGTTAAAATATGGTATATTAGTGTGACCAATCAAAAAAAGAGAGTGTAATCCATTTCCGAAATTATAAAAATGAAATACTTTTTTCTCTGTATTGTTGCACTGTGCAGTCATTGAACCATTGGATGATATGACTAATATGAGAATTTTGACTGTTTCACTGCTGCTTTTTAATATAGTTTTTCATCTTGTTATAACAATACATAAGGATATTTAAAAATATGTCAGAAAAGAACAAAAATAACAAAAATAACAAAATAATATGTTAAGTAGTTGTTATGAATTATTATAAAATACAATAATACAAAAAAAATACAGTTACGATTAAAATATTCAGAAATATATTAACTATTCATTATAAAGAAATATGTTTAAATGTTTCTAATAAATCCACAATTGTAATAAAATATATTAATACTTAGTATACGTCAAAACAAGTGAATATGTATTGGTTCAATATTTCAAATATGAATTATATACGTGAAACCATTAAACAGTCTTATTTTACTTTTAATTATTGAAAACTAAAATTTATTTTTTAACACAATTAGTGATATTAATATATATTAATTTTATTATTTGTAATTGATATTAAAATTAAGCTGCAAGTAATTTTGTAAAATTGTATCAATCTATTTTTTAAGTTCTATATGTATATAATCAGACAAGATAATGTATAAAACAAATTATCAGAGTTCTGTTGTTGTTATATAATTAATATTTAATTTAAGTAAATTATTAAGGAACAATAATAATTGACACTCATGCCTAAATATACTCTTATTTATTAAAAATATAATAATAAAATGTATTTATTTGACAGCTGTACGAGTATAAGTATTTTTATTTTATGCTTAAAAATACGATTTTATTTTATTTCAAATATTAACTGATAAAATATATATTATGTACATATAGTATTATTGTTTATGTGTTTGTATTATATTGATGAATATTATAAGAATACCGAAACTGTACTTCTATAACATATATGTCTATATGTATCATAAGTTATTAGAATGCTTTAGATGTATTTATCTCTGGTTGTGATTTTTTTTATTATGTCAGTGCAAACTGTTGTTACTGTTTTTATAGTTATAGAATATACATAGGTATATTTTATAACGAATCTTCAACCATCAACGAAACAACTCGTCTATCAAATGCACCTCACATTTCCTTTTGAACAACAACAAGATCATATGAAGTTTTTGTAAACATATATATACGAGAAATGTTAAAACAAACGTGTATATGGAACATATGTTAGACCCAGCCATTAATAAAAGCTATAACCGTATATCCACCTCGCCTCCAATCAACATGAGTTTAGTAAGCGTAACAGCATCACCTCCGCCGTCACAATTTAAATATCGAATTTTCTTAACCAAAGTCACCCTTGCGAACCCACGATGTTAGTAGGCTTTAATCTAGAAAATGCGTTTGACACCTATCGCTGATTGAACAAAATGACGAATCTGTAACTCTGATATAGGTGTATCATTCTTCGTTCATCTTAGAGGTAAAATGTCAGGAAAAGAAGCTGAAATAAAGTGTTCATCCGAACTGTGTTCTTTCGCCGATCCTATGCAATCTTTCAATTCAACCTTTTGCCACATTCTTTAGTTTCAGGACTAAATAGGTATCCTTGACTTTGCCCATCAAAATTCCTGAATTCGGGACCACCACCACCACCTCTAAACACAAAAACTTGGGTATCCTACTGGACAGTATGTTGACCTTTACTTCACATGCAACTGCGATTTTCAGTTAATTGAAATCAAATAATATATCTTGAAAGCTCTCGCAGCTTGTTAATGTGGTAAAAATAAATAAAATACTGGACTTATATAAAGCAATAGATCGCACTATTACGGCCTATGCAGCAATAGTGTGGATCCCACAACTATGCAAGATACAATAGAAATACATCCAAACGTGTCAGAACACAGCTTTGTGAATTACAACCGGTTGTCATCGCATGTCGCATGCGGAATCTAAAATAATTTTTGGAAAAGAGTATAACAAATTGCTGTCCAAACAATATCTATTTGTATGCCACACAGATGGACATCCCAGTGCTATGTTAAAAAAATTAAAAAAAAAATCAAATCTCAAGGGAAGACCAAAATCATTCGAATAATGGAAGCCTTAATTTATTAGTCTTTTTGAATTAAGCAGGTTAAGGCAAAAAATTCGAATTATACGGTTTTGTTTTTTATGATATCTATACTTTCCAAATAAAAAACAAGACAAATATTTTTATATGTAGATATATTTTAATACATACAGTGGAATCTCGCAAATAATAACCACTTGGTTTTTTGGGTAGTTCAAATTTGCGAAAAGTTCTAATTTCTGGACTTTTTGAATTCCTATAAAAAAACTATTAAAAAATTAAAACTCTACATAAAAACTTTACTTTACAGTTGAAATCAATTTTTATTATGCATTATTGTTTGAAGTAATCGGTAATGTTTGTTCGTTTTTTAGGTTTAGTCTCATTTTTTATAATGATATCGTTACGGAGCGTTAAAAGATTAGTCATGTGGTTAGTAAGAAATGAGTCATTCCTTTGCATCAATTTATTAAAATATTGACGCTTTCAATCGCTTGAGAATGAGACACATTTGGTGGGGGATTATGCGCAAGTGGCATATCATCATCGCTGTCGTAATGATCAGAGTCCCAATATAATAACTTGGACCAAGAATTTGTTAATACTTTTAGTGGCATCTTATTCCAAGTCTGTTTCAGATAAATTATTGCATTTCGGATGGAATAATATTTTAAAAAATTGTTCACTTCACCACCTTCAGCACCTTCAGCAATTAATTCGACAAGAAGCTTATTTTTATAATTGAGATTTGTCAAGCTTATAGGATTTTGGTCCATTGGTTGCACAGCTGCTGTTACATTTGGTGGGAAGAAATATGCAACAATGTTTCCATCATCAGTTTGCAGTTTTTTTATCGGTGCATGACCAGAACAGTTGTCAATAAGTAGAAGAGCCTACCTAGGCAATTTATTTTCTAATGAAAATCGAGTAACCTGTTTAACAAAAATATTTTTTTTAATGATAAATTTAAAAACAAAATTTACTTATTTAATAAATATCTTGTAAAACCACTCATGAAAAATTCGCAGTGTCATCCACGCATTTTTCGAAAAGTTGTAATGAAGTGGGTTATTAAATCCATTGATACATCTTGGTTTGTTTACTTTTCCAATCCCTTATGGTACTAACTAATGGTGTCAGCCATCAGTATTTGCGCCAAGTAAAATTAAAGGCGTTCTTTTCGTACTTTAAATCCAGGGGCGCTCTTTTTATAAGCAACAACAAATGTTTTTTCTGGAATGCAACTGAAAAAATAATCAGCTTTTATCGACATTATTATATATTTGTGACTCTTTGAGTTCCAACTTTGCGACTTCTGTCCGAAATTTGTGTATAAATGTAGTTATAGCTTCAACAACGCTGGAAGTATTTCGGCACAAATTTTTAAATAACGAATACCAAATCGCTTTTTAAACTTTGTGAGCCATCCATCATTTGCTTTGAACGCTGATGTATTGTTATCAGGACATATTTCAGCAAATAGCTTTAACCTTCGTCTTTAACTTTGGTCCATTAAGTGTACACTTAAAGGTTTTTACGCTGATGTAAAAGCCACTTAAACAGATATTTTTCCATCAGTGGATATTCTGCGCCAAGCAAAGATTTATTGCTTCCTTTTTCATAAGATTCAGAAGCAGCAGTAATTATGACCTCTTTTTTGGATTAATTGTAAGTGATAGTAGATTTTGTCACATTGTACTTCAAAGCTAAATAATTCGCTTGGACGCTCTTATCAAGCTTTACTAATATCTCTGCTTTAGTTTGTAAAGATAATATATTTTTTTTACGCTTATTTGACATTTTTTTTATAGTTTTCACTCTTAATCAAAAGTACATATATACGTCAGTACACATCAAGCAATTAATTACTAATGCACTTGAGCATGGCAAAAACTTGCATTTCTGAATGCGTCTCATAAAAGTACGCATTTTGGGAATATCCCTTTTTTTGTTAAAGTAAAGTACGAACAATAACATTTATCAACTTACTAATTTATACAAAACAAAAAAAAAATAAATAATAAAAACAAAATTCGTTCAAAAATTAAAACCAAAAGTTCAACTTTTAGAGATTACAGTGCAAATAATGTATTGAAATTTTTTGATTCTAATTTCTGGACAATTCGAATTTATAAGAGTTCTAATTTGTGAGCCTCTTCTGTATTATATTAAAAGAAAAAATCAATAATTTATATATAACTTTAATATTACATCAATATGGAATAAATACTTTTCACATACTTCTTATAACATCAAACCAACTTTTTTCAAACAAATGAGTTTGTACTTAGAACCTTAGAACCATACATGTTTATGCAGTGATCAAACAAAATCGAACGCACTTGCAGCGTATAAATGTGCGGCCAGCTACTCCGCACACAAAGCGGCTATTATATGGTATATAAGAGCAACAGCTAAAAAGGGAGAGACGAAATTTGAAAGAAATGTATGGTGATGTGAGCTGCAAACTTTAACCGCTTCGGCAAGTTAACATGTTGGATTCTTATACATGCAGTTGATATTCAAATAGAGAACAGAAAATTACTCTCATACAATTCCCAGTCTCTATTTCTCATATTTTAAGCTAGAGCACACGCACAGTATTTTGTTCATTCTACTTTTGTGCACACTTATGACAGAAATTTATGAATGCAATTGCTTAAAGGGGAAAGACGAAATATGATAAATATGTTTTGCGATGTGAGCTGCAAACTTATGATCACAACTAACGACTTTGGTAGCTAAGAGAAGCAAATTAAATGAATCTTTAAAAATATGTATGTATATAAAAATGTAATAAATATTAATTCTGGTTCTAAAGATATTTTATATATTTTTATATATATTTTGACAATTTGCAAATTATATTAGGGTGTGCACCGCACACCTCCGCACCTTAGAGCAGTCGTGACTGATTTAGTCGTCACTGATTTATATACATTATAAAATTTAGAAAGGTATAAAGTCTTTCTAAATTCTAATTAAAATATCGTGCTGATCCCTATTGATAATTAACTACTTATCTATCGGCATTCGGAAATTATTCCAAACTTCTAAATAAGCTCAAAAAAGTTCTTGTATTTTTTTCTTTTTCTCCTTTCTTCTTCTTCACAATTGTCACATTCTTTATTATTACATTCAAATATGACTATAATATTCTTTCGTGATCATCTTTACTATATGATCTGTTTGGGAACATGCAGTAATACCTTTTTTACAAGTAAGAGTTGCGACTGTCAATAAAGCGTTTAAGATGATACGATTTGTCAGAAATTAAAGTGGCGCTTCAAGTTTTGTGCTGTGTACCCTTCTGACTGGTTGATATAAATAATCTTCACTAACAATTTTATCTTGTTATGGGCGGCGCGATAGTTTAGTTCCGCCATATATGTACTGTAGACTCAATTGGGTTTGATTACTTCAAAACAAATTTTTCGATTAGATTTTTTGTTGCAGTAGGTGAGAATCATCAACAGCCACAGTGTGAGACTTGATCCAACAAAAACAACCTCTTAGGAATGAATAGAGAAAATGGGGAGAGAGATATGAGCAGGAGGCTTCGTACCTAGGGAACTAAGTTTATCCAAGCCTGAAAACATTGGCATGGCATAGATTGGGAGTAGGTGAAGGTGTTGGGAATATAGCGCATTCGCGAGAATTGGGCTAGCAGTAGAGCGGTAGACTCTGTGAACAGTGTCACGAGAACCGCGGTTATAGACAGGGAGGAGAGGGCTCAGAGTCTCACTCATCGAAATATAGTGTAAGATATTGGGCAGGTTTGTAACGCAAGGTTTGGACGAGGTCCGCGGGAATGATTCTGTAGATGGAGACGTTGGGGAGAGATTGTGCAAGTGAGTGAGATACCTTTGGGCGAGTAACTGGGGGGGGAGGTTGGTTGTTTATTGTGTCACATAAAGGACGTAGTTACAGAAGTTATGCTTTCAGGGGTATTCAGGGGAATGGGGGTATTGCGGAGCTTTAGACCGATATGTGTGACACTAAAGCCTCTGGTACGATCTCGTCTTTGGCATTGTTCGATAAAATGAATATATTACCATCACATATATCTATTTCTAGATAAATTATAGTATTCTGCGTGATAGTAATAATACTGCAATGATTTTTTGGCAAAAATACCTTAAATAAATACCAATTTTATATATGTACAAAAACGAGCTCAAAATAAAACTGTATAAGTTCAAAAAAGGAAATTGACTTGAGGGAACGATAGAAGTGTTCTCCTGACACGAAAGCGGCTAACTAAACGCTCATGTCGTCTTCTCTGATGAGTTAAAATTTCTAATTTATAAACAATTAAATCGACTTTATTTAATCTGCTAAATAAAATCATATCAAAATGCATTTAAATGGTCACAAGAAGTGAATCTACGCTATTTACGATAATGTCTGCAACCTTAGCTATCGATAGTTAGTAGTTATATATAGTTGGTATATCTTGCTATTTTTTAACCATGACAAAAATATCAAATTTTAAAGCCCGATATCTTAAGTTGTTTAGAATAGCTGACTCTACTAAAACTAGTTTTTAGATAAGCAAGCCCGGAAAATTGGAATCGTGCCGAAACAATATGTTTTAATAGTATATCCCAAAATGAGGTTATAAAATATTGTTGCACCATCTATTGATATTAAAAAATGTAAAAATAAAATATAAAATATTCATTTATAAACTTTAAATTTTAGAATTCGTTTCTTGAACAATTAAATTTAAACCATACATATATGAGATCGAACACATACTATATATATATATATACATATTTATGTATATGGTATATTTATGTATCACTAATATCCGTTTGGAATATATTCTTATATGACATCTACATATATTAAACCTTAGTTAATCTTCTTATTTTTTTTATTAGAGAGTCATGTTTCGAAAACTTCTGTCTTCAAATTATTTGTTATTTTACCGAACGTGTTCTAAGTGCCTTATATAACTGTGGAACTAAAATGAATAGTTACAATTTTTCCATTGTGCATATATCATATTTTTTTTATAAATATGATTTAAAGCCTATATTATGTTACATATCTATAAGTCCAAATATTTCATTTTAATCCAATTGCATGGATTTGAGCTAAAAAGGAAGCGAATTGATACAAAAATAGAACAATTTTTTTTTTCATTTAATTACTTATATTTATTAAAATAATACTATTATTCTAGAAATGGGCTGGTGTGGCTTTAATGTGGTAATAGGTTTTTTATTTTTAACATGTGGTAATAGTTTTTCGTAAGTAAATAGGTAAGTCACCACAGACAATTTTCTTTAGAGAAGACGGCTTCTCAGTCGCTCAGAAATTTCATTATAGTTACGATTTTTCCATTGTGCATTTATTTGAATTGTTTCTAATGCTCGTCGTACACTCTGCTCAGCTTTGTGTAAATACTTTTTATTTTGTTCAGCAAAACTTTTAATGTATTCATAATCTCTCTGGCTAGCCATTTGACTCGCCAATGGCGTCAATAAGCGCGCTAAATCTGAGCTATCCGGTTCATAACTAATAAGAAAATAACTAATATTAAATTCATTGATATAACTGAGCATATACTTACAAATCGTGTAAAAATTCAATATTCGATAAAAAGTAATCTTTAGCTAAATGGAAACCAACTTCTCCGCGTGCTACTGATCCAAAAGCATAAAACGAATCCTGTTTTCGAATATGTGAAGTTTCATCAAATGACCATTCCAAGTATCGCTGCAGTAACCAAACTTCTCGCGTACAACCAAGAGCAGAGATAATTGTTTTCTTTTCGGCAGCAACATTTGAGTTTTTATAACGTAACCAAAGGAAATGCCAGTCATCGTCATTACCATGACGCATAGCTGTACAATATACTACTGATCGTAGATCAGTTGGTATGGGGTTATTTTTGTCTGGATCTTCAACTCTACGCCATAGTTTAAAGTAAGTTCTAGCACGAGCTATACAGTCGTGCACTTCAAATCGGCAAGACCAACCGGCAATAAGTACTTTGTGCAAAATCGCACTATGATTATCTTCATCTGGATTTCTTGTAGTTTCATTTAATCCATTTAAATAAATGTAAATTGGAGTCAAAATTTTACGCATATATTTCTGTAAATCAATTAAAAATGATAAAACTTTATAAGCAAGTTATTTGATTTTTTTTAATACATTTTAACTTTTATATAGTACTATCAATACCGATAATTACGCTAAGCTTGGTGGCTTAAAGAAATAACTGATCTTAGAATTCAAAGCTGAAAAATTATTTTACTCAATTAAAGCCCTGGTGATTTATTGTTTATAGAGATTATTCTAATTCAAATTATTTGAACAAGTTGTCAAGATAGCGAAGCGAATATCTCGGCTAATATTTGTTAGCAAATTAAATAAAACCGCTGAAGTCTGTAAATATAGAAACATCCTACCCAAAATTGAAACTAATAACATTCTCAAAACAGTATTGGTTCAGAATAACCTCGTGATATGAAACTCTAGACACTATAATAGAAACTTACTTGCCCGGGAATTTCAAAAGCTTTAAAGCTTCAATTGAAAATAAAACCTTTACATCAAGAGGAATACCTCAAGCAGAAGTTATATGTTACCATTCATAGAGTACAATGATAACTGTACAATTATTGGACAACCCATTTTTAAGGATCACGAAGATATCTTTTATACTTACAATGTAATATGTTTATATATATAAGTTGCTCTGATACGGAATTCTATTCTGTGTTAGATGTGGCTTATTATTCCAATGTAAGTCATTCTCAAATAATTTTTTTTTTTGATGTGGAGTTTATTGAGATTTTATATACCGAAATAGATACTTTATTGCTTCATCTTTACGGCACAGCGTGTTTTTTTAACTATTACAGCTCAGTAGACTAATATAAAAAGCAATGATCAAAGGTTTTAAATATATATATATAATATATATATAATATATAATATATATAATATAATATCAAAGCTTTTAAATATATATATATATATATATTTAAACGCTTTGATCATTGCTTTTTATATTAGTCTATTGAGCTATGAGCTAATAATAATTTTCAGTAAGAGGAACACTAAACTATAAATTTTATGGCTCAGTAACTTGATGCTACAATTGAAGGTAGGATATATGTTGATTATAGAATTGCTCAGAACTTAAGGGTGAATTGGAAAGGAATTAATATACTAGACGAGACGAAACGAGCACAGATAAAATAAAACGCATTTGTGCGTTTATATGCTATATATGCAAATATACGATGGCATCTCACATGAAGCATTGTCGTCAATTCTTAAAATACTGCGATGACCTTTAAAACTATAACGTATAACGAAACTTATAAAACATTTTATTTTAATTTTTAATCAATCGAAATCAGTCAATCAAAGACTTGACGGCATAGCAACAGTTGAAAAATTACATTATAATCTTAAGCTCCTAAATCGAGTAACTATGTACTAAATAATTCATATAAATGTGTTCTATCGTCCTTTTAGTGCAAGTTTTTAAAGTTACATTTTTTGCTTACCTTAAAGAATTCATAATCCGGAGTTTGTCTTAATATTCTGTTAACATTGCTGAGGTTCTCTAGTGCTGCTATCCATGGTATATATTCCCTCTCACGTGTTAAATATTCAATAAGACGCATCGCTACATCGTAATCAACATCTCCACTCCAAGCAAGTGATAAGGCGTCATCAATTAGTTGAGCGCGATTTATTATATGAATTTTTTCAAAGTTGCTGCTTAAAAGCGTGTCTATTAACATATTCCAATTGTGGTCATCATACTTAACTTTATATAGGCCAGCCATTTGTATATTGAATATAATCCATTCGTTATCATTGGGCATATTTTCAAGAGTTTTTGAAATAGCACCAGCAGTACTCTCACATTCTAACCAGTCTTTTGGTGTGGTAGCACTGAAGTCAGCTTGGTTTTCCAATGTATAACTCAATGGTACCCACCAGCAATTCTTTTTATCAGTACGACCGCTTTCTGTGTCAAGTAAATAACGTGTCTGTGAAACTTCAGCTGTTTTTCTTTTATAGTCGCGTGAAACAGTAATGACAGGATATCCAGTTTGTAAGGTCCATGAATCCATTATAAGTTTTATATTGAAATGAGTTGGTATAGCACGAAATTTATGAGCAGATTCTGTTAGTGCAGCCCATAAATTATCTTGTTCAGCATTGCTGTATGCATGCTTTCTAAGGTAATTAGAGACTCCAGTACGAAAAGATAAATCTCCCAAGAATAAATGCATCATACGTAGTACAGCAGAACCTTTCTTGTAAGAAATTGAATCAAATATTTCAGAAATTTGACTAACATGATGGATTGGTTGAGAAATAGGATGACTAGTTTTAAGTGCGTCCACTTTAAATATTGCTAATGTGTTGTCAACAGATTCTTCAATTAATGATTTCCATTCTGGACTTATATGTTCTAAACCTAAACTGGCAATATATGTTGCAAATCCTTCATTTAACCAAAGGTCTGTCCACCATTTCATTGTTACTAAATTACCGAACCACTGGTGAGCCAGTTCGTGAGCAATTACCGAAGCTACGCGCTGCTTATTAGCTACAGAAGATACATTTGCAGCATACAATAATGCGGTTTCTCTATATGTTACCAGGCCCCAATTTTCCATTGCTCCAGCACTAAAATCAGGTATTGCTATTTGATCAATTTTGGCAAGCGGAAACTTTATGTTGAAGATTTCTTCATAATATTCTAATACTTTCGGACCAACAATACCAGCATAATTGCATTGGTCGATAGCATCTCGTCTTGCCCACGTACGGAATTGCACATTATTTTTTAAGTTCGTTTCAGCTCTCACGTAAGCAAAATCATTTACTGTATAAGCCACTAAATAAGTAGACATCGGAACTGATTCTTCAAATTCACTCCATAGCCAATCCTTTTGTTCGTGCCTTCATAAAAAAAATTTATTTTATTAATAAATATGTTATTCAACCTACTCGTACATACTCGTAGAACAAATAATAAATATGGTAATTATTAATATTTAAAAAAAATACAATATGAATACATACATTGGACGAGCTTCCCTCAATGGCATATTACTTAAGGCTGTGTAATTCTTATGGTGCCCCAACATGACAGTAAAAGTAGCCTTATAATCTGGTTCATCGAAACACGGAAAAGCAGCACGAGCAGCAGCTGGCTCAAATTGGGTTACTGATAGCCATCTGAATATGAAAACATAAGTTTTATACATAAATTATATATTTTATTTTAAAAAAATATTGATAAAAATAATTAAATTGATATATCTTTTGTAGCAAGATCTATTACGAAAAAAAAATATAACCGTTTTTTACAATAAATAATAGACAAGATTATCTGATTATATAGCAAGAATAATCTATGCTCTTACTATTGCAACTCTTCACAAATCCGACCATGTTGTAATAATATTAGGTTGTTAGTGTAAAACACCTATTAAGCATCTACAAGATTCTTAATTAGATTAAATAGTTGTATATATCCAAACCAAATTTTAACAATTTCTATCTTTAAACAGTCTAATTTATATGCATACTTTTATGTATATTTTTAACAATTGTTATTCAAATTTACCAATTAAGTAAAAACTGCATACCCGTAAACAAATTATCATATAAGGATAAGGCACTTAAACTGGTACTTTATAGAAAGTTACTCGTATACCAAAGTTCGGATGAACTTCACCTTGCTTTTTCATATTACTTTTATACATAATATATTGAATTTTTACATTCCAATACTAATCCCAAGTTTAACTATAAAATATTAATTTGTTGAATCGCAATGTTTTGGCTACATTTAATTAAATTAATTAAATCCAGTAACATTTAGAGCAAGTTATACGAAGATCAGATAAAAAATTCTTATAAAACAGTGCCCAATAGATTCCTTTTATTTGTGCAATATTTAAAAAAAGGGAAGGAAAGATAAGTAGTTTGAAATTTCTGAAATATCTCCTCTACCATTTTCATGGCGGTTTTTTCAAACTTCAATAATAGGTTTTACCAGATTTTAAATTGTTAATAAATCGTGATTTCGTGAATCTATATTTTCTTTTATTCATATGTATTACCATTATGTGAGAAAACAAAAACACTTAAATAACTTGATGAGTACAGTTCCTTACATTAATATGACATCGAATTGACTATGATTTTTTTATAACGGAGGCACCAACTTCAAGTTCTTTTTTCAATTATACAATTATTTTTGGATTATTGGAATAATTCTTAATTTTAACACTCATATCAATGTTCATTAATATAAAATTTTAACTTCTTGTTACGAGCGGATGTGCTCATATTGTGAAATGAAGACCATTAAATGTACAACATGCACTTAACATCATTAAGGGACATTTTTAAAGGGTTTTTATCGAATCAAATTAAGAATTATATGAAATAAATAGATAATATAAACTCACCTTGTTTTATTTGTCGTTTTGTCGTGATATGAAGACCGGTAATATCCACGTAGCTTATGATTCAGAATACCAGCGAAAGGTATTGTCATAATATACTCCTCACCTTGCTTTGCCTGTTTACATAAATGCATGATGTAGTAATCATGTTGCGGATTCACCTCCGTTGAGCTGATGCAATTTTGTCTGTCATTATGGAGCAAATTCTTCAGACTGATTTGTTTTTCGTCGATGGTCAAATTTTGAGAATGTATCGTTATATTATTGGTATTTTCTGCTATAATTAAATGCATAATTACATCTCCAACAAATGTTAAATTATTCGGATTAGAGAGATGTGTGACCACTTGCAAGTTATATTTCTTAGGACGTATCGATGTTGGTAATCGATAGTGATCATAGTTCGGTGTTTTTGATACATTATTGTATTCGTCTATAGATGTGTTGCCGAGCGCAAAGCCCGTTATTGAAACACATATTATTAACAGTTGTAAAAACATTTCTAAATATATGATAATAAAATCAATGCATCAATTTATTTTTTATTATTTTATGTTGTTTAATTTTATTTAATATTATTATTATATGAGCTATATATGTAAGTGTACTATTAAATTATTAAAGTACATCCAGTTAGTATTTTGAAATGACAGATTTTATTTAGAAAGTTGTTCTCTATTTATACAAAATAACCTTAAAACTAACTTAACTAATTTTACTATAAAGGTTGAAACAATATGTTGTCTGTTAACTCTATTTTAAGTTGACTGTATTAAATTTCATTGCTGTCGCAAAAATCGTTCAAAAAAGGATACAAAACGGAAGTCCTGGCACTTGGGATTTATCCTTCTATTGTCTACAAATATATTTTTATTATCATAATTAGATACGGTGCCTTGTTTGTCAAAAAATATTAGAAAATGTTACAATATTTGCTATTTTAGTTTAGGGTATTTTTTCTTAGTTTACATAATTCTGAGAATTTAAACGAAAACAGACTTATAATCAGGGTTCGTATTTGCTCACTCATGAGCAGCTCAGGCTCATGAGCAAGAGCCAATTCTTATGTGAGCCCAAAATTGGCTCATTGAAGAGCTGCTCACCAGCGTGAGCCTTCAAGTTGCTCATATTGAAGAGCTGCTCATGAGGTCTCACGAGCTCAACTGTTTAATAAAAAGCGATTTATTATTTTATTTTATTTATTTATTTTTTTAAACGTGAAAATATATAATTTCATATTAAAACAATATAATAAAACAATAATTTGAATTTGAAAAACAAATTTATAAAATATTATTTTCCACAAATTAACAATAAAAATATATTTATTGTTTATTTTAGGATGTTTGATTATTTCCATATTTTAGTTAGTTTAAGGTTATAAATGTTTTTAATCTTTTTTACTGACATGTTTTCACAAAAAAAAATAATAGCAAAATCTTAAATTGGGCGCATGAGATCTCATGAGCCGCAGCTCATACTCTTGCTCACGAGCGTAAGCCCATTTATAACTTAATGGAGGCTCTTGCTCGTGAGCGTAAGCGTGAGCTCTGTAGTTGGGCTCGCTCGTGAGCGTGAGCCATCGTATGAAAAGAGTTTTTGGCAGGCTCATGAGCCGTGAGCAGAATGAGCCGAAATGAGCCGCTCATGGGTACGCAAATACGAACTCTGCTTATAATAATAATAAACTATAAAATACGTGTTCATGCTTGAACAATATGCTTCCTATGGTATACATACATATGTATATATCAATGAACGCAGTTAAGGGTATTAGCAAGAACACTAAATACAAGAGTACTTCTCAACTGAACTTTTGAAAAATTTGTCTCCAAAAACATTAGGCCGATCAAGAGGAACGCTTTGTGTTTGTTCTCTATTTTTGCTTTTGCTTGTAAATTTCATATAAAATGTATGCATTTTAGCTGAAGAGAAAGAGTGCCATATTTAGGACGTGTGCGAGTTAGGCTAAGTTGATGCTAAACCAAATGGGAGATTTTTTGGGATTTTTTGCACTGCACACATTTTGCCTTTTATCAACACGTATCGACACATCAATACATTATCGACACAACTTAGAATTTCCCTCATTTAGAACGCAACTTAGCCTAACTCGCACACGACCTTATTTTCCTTTCTTTTTGTGTTTTGCTATAGAATAGAATAGAAATAAACAGGGTACTAGCTCCCACTGGAGCAGAGCACTGCGACCAGATTGATCTTTTGTGCCGTAACTGACCCTAATTGAACAGAAGACATTCCGCTTTCCGAATGAAGGCCAGAATGTCGTCCGTTGAGGACCTCTTAATGTCAGAAGGAGAGAGCAGCTCTCCTCCCAGTGATTTCCTCCTTGCCCAGATCAAGGCTGGGCAGTCACAGAGAATGTGGCTCGTAGTCTCGTCTGCCTCTAAGCATAGTCGACACTCTATCTCTTCGGACAGACCTATTTTGTTAAGGTGATAACGCAGTCCATGGTGACCCGTTAAATATCCCACCAGCAACCTCAAATCTGATCTGCTGAGGAGGAATGCCTTGCCATAACTATATGGATGAACCAGCTGTTTTGCCTGACGGTTACCTCGATTGTCACTCCAGTAGCGACCTCTCTCGGCTGAGATCCATTTATCAATTAGATAACTAGTTGTTGACCAACTTAGTCCACAATAGGGTTCTGGTCCACAGATTTTAGTTGCAGAACCTGCCCTTGCAAGGCTGTCGGCAGATTCATTTCCTTTTATACCTGTGTGTCCAGGCACCCAGCAAAGCGTCACCTTATTTCTGCTTGCCAGCTGTTGCAACATATCAAAGCAGTCTAATGAAAGTTTTGAGAAAAACCTCCAGGTGGATAGAGCTTTGATTGCCGCTTGACTATCTGAGTAAATACAGATGCGGGCGCCTTTTAACCCGTTGTTTAAGTTGATACGAGCGCAGACCTCGATGGCGTGAACCTCTGCTTGGAAGACAGTGGGCCATATACCCAGCGCTAGCGAGATTCTGGTGTTAGGACCAAATATTCCAGCACCAACACCTTCCGTGGTTTTTGAACCATCGGTAAACCATGATATCACTTCTGGTTCTGCTCCAGGGGTGCCATTTACCCAATCCAATCGATCGGGAATGAGGACTTCGAACTTTCCACCGAAGCGAAGTTCCATGTTCATGCGATCTGTCCTATCGCAGATCTCTATGCCAGGAACTAGTCTGCAGATAGAGTTTTGACTGTCAAGACTTCCGTGCATATTGATACCAGAGTGTAGCCTAGCTTCACTCAGGGCTGCCGTCTTTTTAATGAAGAGGTGCAGAGGGGTAAAACCCACTATGGACTCCATAGCTGATGTGGGACATGTTCTGATAGTTCCCGTCATAGCGATACATGCGAGTCTTTGCAGTTTATTGCATTTGAGTATTGCAGCTTTTTGTTGTGCCTTATTCCACCAAACAAGAGCTGCATAGGATACAATTGGTCTGACCATTGTACGGTAGATCCATGAGAGAATTCTGGGACTAAGGCCCCAGGTCCTACCATATGCGTTCCTGCATGTCCACATTACCCTTGTGGCTTTGCCAATTACATTATCCAGGTGAGTGTTCCAATTAAGACGCTTATCTAGGGTGATTCCTAGATATTTAACTTCGTCGGAACATTCAATAGCCGTATCTTTTATAGATAGGGACCCTAAGTTCAGTTTATACCTTCTGGAAAATGGTACAATTACTGCTTTTTTTGGGTTAATACTTAGGCCTTCTTTTATACACCAGCTCGAAACTTTGTGTAAGGCCGCCTGCATTACGTCAGTAACTGTGGCCTCATATTTACCGCAAACTATGATTGCCAAGTCATCTGCATAACCTATGGCATGGTAGCCAGATTGTTCCAGTTTGACTAGTAGATCGTCTACTACCAACGTCCATAACAATGGTGAGAGAACCCCACCCTGGGGGCAACCCCGTACTGCACTAATGCTAACGGTGGTATTACCTAACTTGGTAGATATGTTCCTGTCACGTAACATCCTATCTATCCACGTTATTGTACAGGAGTCTATATCTTTCCGGGCCAATGCACTGGATATGGACTCATAAGATGTATTGTCAAAAGCACCTTCTACATCCAGAAATGCACATAAGGCAATTTCTTTAGATTGAAAGGTGCTTTGAATTTTGCTGACCAAGTGATACAGCGCGACCTCCGTAGATTTGCCTTTTGAGTAGGCATATTGTGTGGGGTGGAGTGGAACCGTTTGTCCCATTTTTTCCCGTATGTGCAGATCAATTAGCCTTTCGACAGTTTTTAATAAGAAGGAAGTGTTTTGCTATATTTTCTTTTGGAAATATTTTAGTACCGTGCGTAGTCAGAATTCAGTTAAATATTTACTCATTTTAAAATATATATCTTGCATCAATATAAAAACCTTTCCTGATTAAAATGTATATATATGTTTTAATATTGTAATTGCTTTATGTGATAATTTATAATTATTTAAGCATGAAATTTGCAAATGTACATAAGAGGGAGTAGGAATCCTTTAATCACAAGCTACGCTCGGATTATATCTTACATTGATAGGAGTAAACGATTACAATTACAATTTAAATTACTTGTATTTACAATAATCCTATTAAACTCTAAATAAAAACAGATGCCATAATTTTTGTTTAAAAAAATGGAAAATTAGCATGAAACGGTTCCCTCGTCATAATAGAATTCGTGCAAAGGTTAACGTATCATGCCAAAAATACAAATAATATTTTACATAAATTTTTTTTAAAATAAAATATATTGATAAATATATACAAAATTTATATTCCAGGAACGTAAACACTAACCAGTATTATGTTATAAATTATATTATTTAAAACATTATTGAACGCCGCTTATGGTGACAGTGAGAAGTTTAAATTAAAGTTTCATTGGCCCAGACCTCAAATCGTGTTTTAACTACAAATGAGAATTTTTACATACTCATATACATACATATGTACAATATATACTCGTATATTATGCATGAGACGTACATACATTTTCATGCGTAGCTGAGATAATTTTTAGTCTTAAATATAACTTTAAAATAGCGGCATCATGTTTATATAATACAATTCAATTGATAATTACGTGTAAACTTAATTTTATTATAATTTTATTTAGATATGCGTGAGTGATTAAAACCCAAATCTTTTCGTATACCTCAAACGGTCTTATTTATATTTATTTATACATTTAAAAATCAAAAAATTGATTAACATAATTCGAGGGTGAATGCATCGGCGCTGATTAAAAATGCTTATTGAAAATTTGAACTTTAAAAATATTTTGAATAATTTTAAGAAATTTTTTAAAGTTAAGTCAACTCATATTTTTGCAGTTCGAAAACTTTAAATTCTTGTACCCCACCCAATATACCATATGGTGGAGTGAACACACTTATCCTCATACCAGAAGACTTATTTCGTTCATTTAAATGCGTATATATTAATGTGTCTGAGTAAAAATTATTATATTTTTTTCTCATTTTTCAGCCATATATGTCATATATAAATAAAATGATCTACACTTGCAATAACAAGATGCAGTAACCCACATTATTTAATAGATGAATCTGAAGAGATTGTAGACCCAAAATCTTTATGTCTATACTAAACATATTTGATACCAATATTTTTTGGAATTAATTTAATTTAAAGTAAAATCATTAAAAAAATTATGTCACAGCTACGACAAGATTCTTAACGGTTTCTTCAAATGTGTTACTATATTCTTTTTATTTCAATTTTTTAATACTCAGAGTATAAATAGTTCATAGTTGAGACAAAAACACACTTTTAGCCTTTAGATCTTTTACTTTTAGCAGCGTAATTGTGTAGAAAAAGATCTACATTTGCAAGTCTGTAGCTCAACCGAATTACCTCCCAAGATCAAGATCAATGTATATAAGGCATATGTGAAATCAATTCTACTGTATAGCTCTGAAACATGGCTGCTGAGCACTGAAACTAGCCGCATCCTGCTGTGTTTTACCAATATGGTAGATATCTGCGAAATATATTCAGAATTTGGTGGCCCCGTGTGGTGGACAATGAAACGTTGCTGCAACTCATAAACCAAGAAAACATCATCGTGCAAATAAAATGACGAGAATACAACTGTCTCGGACACACATTAAGAAAACCCTACGAATAGGTCTGTCATGCTGCCTTACAATGCAACCCGCAAGGCAATCGAAGACTTGGCAGGCCTGTGACGACTTGGAGAAGAACCATTCGGCATGAAACTAACAAATTATTTAATGAATTAAGATATTTAGCATTAAACACAAATACCTGGCGATTCTATGTAAATAGTCTATGTTCCTGATGGAATACGTCTTAATAATAATACATAATTATTAAACAATTTTTGAATAGGAAACTTGCGTTGATTTGAAGAAAATATCTCAACTCATATATGTATATTCCATTCGCAAGTATTTGTTTTTGTATGTGCCCACATGTAACATATGAAATGCATTTTTTTCCGGTTTTAGAAGCATCAAATGGAATGCTTAGGAATATGATATTTAAGAAACATTGGTAGGCTTGTCGTGTTAATTTATCCATATTCAGCTCTTAGATCCTTACTATTTTAATGCAGTTGAAAACCTGTAGAAGAGTGCACTGTGTAATAGACAAAGATGTTGCGATTCTACAACGCTAGAAAAACTTGTTAACTTGTTTGTTAAGCCACAAGGAAATGGAAAACTAGTCAACTATTGATAACATTCTAAGAGTCATTAAACTTCGGAAACTTATACTAACTTTACAAAGAAGAAGAATTTTAATACATGAATTTATTAAATGAAGACACAGTTCAACAGACTTGTTAACTACATGTTAACAGAAGATTTCACGGAATATTTTAGCAAGCTATTATTTATAATAATATTGAAAATATTAGTCCCCATAAAATACAAGACTTATTGATATTATTTTAATACAATATAATGAATCTATGTTGAGGCAAATTTCATGCTTGAGTAAAATTATAGCGTTTACTTCTAAATTTACTTGAATTAAATTAAAATTAATTTATTATTGGGAGACTTCCTTTTTAATCGTATTTCAGTAAAAACCAAGCATCGCGATTGATAATGAAGTAAGGAAAATTTACATATTATAAGCAATGGTTTTATGAGCAACGTTACGAGTACATATATAACGTAGTGAAAACATAATTTATTAACGGGCTAATTGGTCATTTAAATAGAAATAAATAACTGTAATTTATAATTTATATTTAAAAACAAATTATATTTTATTAAAATTTTTTTTCAATATTTCAATAGTCATCTTCAGGAAAATTCAGTTAATCCTAACACTGAAATTTACCAAGATCCATTCAATTATAGTGGCGCTCGGAAAATATTAATTGGTTTCATAAATGACTAAAAATATCCACAAATAGGTAAATCCACTTTCTGTGAACATTATTCATGTCTCGATTAATTAGAAATTGATGTTGAGAACTTTTTATTTAGCTTAGTCATCTTAGTTTTATTAAAAACTAGTAGAAAAACAGCCATGTGGACACTAACGCGTTTACCATCATCAATGTACTTCGGTTTTCAGTATATTGAGTTATCAATGTTCCCGAATAAGCAAAGAGCGTAACATAACGACTTATGTATGTTATTTAAAATAGGCGTTTTCTGACTCCATACGTCTTTTTAAAACGGTCTAAATATAAATGAATGATTATGAAAAGGTAAAAGTTCCATTGTGGCATATCAAATGAATACGGAAGTGATTGACTTTACAGTGCATGTAATGGATAATAGCCACAAATAACCATTCTTAAAAGGACTTGTTTTGGACCATCAGAAAATGATTGAATTGGCTAGTGGATATCCTTATTTGATCAAAAGTAGAGTCTTATTATAATACTATATATTATATGACTATATAATGCAAAATAAACCAAAGACTATAGTTAGTTTTAATTCTAGCGAAACAATTTTGAATCACTTTGGACTTAATATAATGGCACAAGTTCTTCTCTAATGAATGATTCTCGATTTATTTGGAAATGAAACAAATTTGGCTCTTTAAATGCATTAGGTATAATATATACACAATATTATGAAAGTATCAGTATTTTAAAGTTGTTAAAAGCCTGGATTTTGGTTGAAACATCAAAAATAAAATGTAATTTAATTTCGTATAATTTGTGGATGTTTTTGGATGTAAAAAAGATATGTGCAGAGCACTTCTAAAATTGCTCATTATTAGCCACAAACAGAATAATAACTTTGAAGGGGTATTTTAAGCGTTATTTAATAGCAATTCAGATAAGGTTTTGCAATCAACGAAACATTAATGAATACAGTAGCAAGAGCTTTTCATAGAATGGATGTGGATTTATCGGAGAAGAAGCTTAGATAGAGAAACATGCAATTTACATTATAAATTCTTAGTGGAACAATTTTTTTTCCTGTAATATCAAAACCGAAATAAAGAACTCTTTATTAGGTAGCTTTGATTCTTCGGTGCATCAAAACTCAGAATCAACTTAGCCATTACAATGAGAAACTTTACAACTCATTTTTTTTAAGGCAAAAGTAATTATTTTGAAATCTAGCAATAGAAGACTCAGATCGCTTTACAAAAACTATTCGAAAACTGCAGCCGTATTATGTATCCCATTGATCACACTGCAACAATATATCCTTAGTATTTAGCCTTTTTTATAACATAATAATTAAAAAAAAACTGCTTTCGTAAAGAGATAAGGAAGGGTCACCATCCCAAAATTTTATAAATATGATTGCGTAACGTACTGTTTTTTATTTTAAAAAATTCTGAAGAAATAGTTTGAGAATTCAGGTTAATCTTATTGTTTGAAAGTGATCAAATATTTGTAGAAATGTTGAACAAAGTACATTGATCTGAAATATTTTTCTGAAAATATGTTTTTTACTTTAAAAAATTATCTGTCTTTAAAAAGTTACTGAATTTTAATGACCTCTTGAGTTCATGAATAACCCAAAAAATGCTATCCAAACACCAATAATGGCGGTTACAACAATCTGACCACTTGATATTTATGTCTTTTAGACTCTGTATATCATTTTTATAGCAATTTATTCAAAAAACACGAAATAGTTGTTATAATAAATTGCACTTAAAATATATAATTAACAATAGATTGCATCACATTATCGTTAATTTTTAACGTATCTTAATGTTTTAAAAATTTATAGCGGTCAGAATTAACAAAATACATTCGAAGTTTTTTATAATAACACAAAATGTAAAATAATTACATGTATTTTAAATAATTCCTCTAATTTTCTCAGACTGTATATACAAAAATTTTAAACTTTATAAAGTCAGGAGCGGATGTTGCATGTCTTTAAAATCGTTTATTTGTTAGTGGTAGCGAGTATTTATATTTATTTTTATTTTATTGTTTATTTAATTTATTTTTTGAATTTCTATTTATAAAATCTTTAAAATAAATGTTTAATAAATATTTAATTGAATACTAATGCGTGCATAAAAATGAAATTTGTAATAAATGATTAGCTTTAGTTAGCACCTGTTTTGTATCCTAAAAAATATAATATTACTTTAAAATTCACTTTTCAATTTTTTAAATTAAAGTTAAAAATTGAATATGTTCGAAAAAAATAACTGTTCCGCGCACTTTCAAATCGACTGCGTCCACCGCCAAAGGTGGCTGACGAATGTCTGAAGTATTCTTAACTTAATCCACATATTTTATATTGCCAACGGCTTAACATTGCTGCATAGAAATTCATGTAAAACGAACTTCGTGATAAAGTAAAAAAATTGTGAATGCAAAGAAAGCTGCTTATTTCGATAAGTTACCCGCCGGGTTTGAATTGAAGTTTTTTTCAATAGTTTTAACTTAATTTAATTATAAATATGTTATGTTTTTTTTGTTATATATTTAAAAAAAAAATTATTACTTAAATAATCTATAATCTATCTAATATGGACATTGAAAATATATTATTGATTTCAATTATACTGGCATTGTATTTAAACCAAGTTTTTCAACTGTTGTTTTCATTAGAGATTACTGAAAGTTCATTGAAAAGCTTTTATTATTCCTAGTTGCTTATAATTAACTCTTTATTAATACTCGTTTTTGTGCTACAAAGAAAAGAATCATTCAATTCATCCGAACGAGTCCATTTAAACGAAAAATTTGTAGGATAATAAAATTTGTTATAATAATTTCGTACGAGAGTTTTGTTTGTAATTTTAGCTGCCAATTGTTATTGCTTTCAATGTAAATTGAAAATATTTAACAAATTAAAATTACAAATTAAACTTTCGTGTGAATCCAATATAATTGATGATTTGGATCACTATAATAAAATATCCTAATAATTTTGCTATAAATGGCAGTGCTGTGGAATTGTGGATTTTGAAAAATAAACCTTTTATGTAAAAGTTTATCACACTAAAGCTACGTTATGACAACCAGATCAAAAACATAGAAACATTTCTCTGTTTTTGTTAGAAACAACATTGCAGTAAATATAACAATAACGATAATAAAAAATCCTAATAATTTTGTTATAAATGGCAGTGCTGTGGAGTCGTGGACTCCACATGCTGCGTTGTTACATCCAAATCAAAAACATAGACGAAACATCAAAAACATAGAAGCGGTTTGGCAGTGGATAAGTAGCGAAGTCTGAGTCTTGCAAGACTATCACAGTGACACAAAATGTGTTCTGCTGTTTCCTCTTCTTCGCAACAATTGTATTACTGGCAATTGTATTATTCCAAACATTTTGAGCTGCTCTTTCCAGTCATTCATTAGTTTTAAATTTGAAAAAGCTCCACGAAGGACCGCAGAATATAATATGAGACCGCCCCTTTTCTCGCTAGTTCATCTGTTTTTTCGTTTCCCTCAAAACCGCTGTGCCCTGAAAAAAAACCGCTGTATTTCAGCCTGAAAAACTGAGTTTTCTTTACTCATACTCTCAAATATTTCCTCTTATTCCATATACTCCCGCCCCCACTCCTTCCATCGTTTTGGAGCCATCCGTGTACCACAGATGGTAGTCTCCCGCGAATAGAGGTATGTTCCGTTCCCATTCATTTCTGTCTTAGTATTAGGAACTTTTGGTGAAAGTTGAATTTAGGTAAGCAAATGTCAGATATGGTGATATTTACCTAGTCCTTCCTCTCTTTGCATTTCCTTACCTAACAAGGAGTTATCTAGTTTTTGCATTTATATTCAAGGATGTCAAAAGTTCTTTAACTTTATCAAGACTCCATGAAAAAATATTTTGTGACATTTAAAGTATTCGATTTAAACGTTTGCATTCGTAATGCTCGAACACTTTAAAGCACTAATAATCACGTATGTTTATTTATATGTCAGGTAAGATTCAGAATGAATAATTTTTAAATGTGATAAACAAATAGAAAATATGTTAAATTATTTTAATCAAAATAAATGTGTGCAATTTGTTTATTTATTTTTTTACTTGTGAAAATGCGCCTAAATGCGAATTGTTTCCTGCGGTGTGAACAACTTCTTATGTCAGTAACATACATAAACAACTCAGCATGAATATGTTTATCTAAAGCTGCGTTCTTTACATAATTTCTGTTTTCACAAAAAATAACTGTTGAAATTGAAAAATTGAAATTTAGAGAAAGTTAAATTTGAATTTATTTAGAAATTCAACAGCTATTAATTCTAAGATAGTTATACCGATATATGTAAGTCAAAAGCATTCTAAGAAATAAACTTTTAAAAAAATATATAAATAAAATTTTATGAGTATTAAGCAATGGATCCACCCAAGTGGTACTATCTTTTGAATGTAATTATAAGTTCTTAATTTCGACGATGATATCGATCCGAAATCCTAGAAAAAGAATTTTTAATTATGATCAATACTGTTAAAAAATTTTTCAAAAAATTAACAATTCGTTCATTTCGGAATATGTTATTCATCTCCTCGAAATGCACTGTCTCTTTTATCTTCATCATTCTTTGAAAATTGCATATTAAAACAACATGCGGTACTTAACTTCGTTGTTTCTTGCATTTTTTCAGGTACTGTTCTCACAGCTCATACTCGTATTTGCTATTTATTCAAAATACTCAACCGTTTTTTTAGGAAAACGCTAAAATCAAGCATCTAAAATACTTGCCGTCAATTCTATTTTACTTTTTAGTCTTCCATTTTTTTTACTCAATCTTATTCCAAATTTTATATTCTCAAACTGGAAAGTCTACAGATATCTTCCTCCAAAGCCAAAGTGTCATGCAACTTGATCCTATTCGACTATGGTAAGTTTGCTTAGGTTTAACTACATTCTTATTAACCATCTTGTTACCAGATTAGAGTAGTCCTGTTGTAGGGAACTGCATTCATACAATTCTTTTTCATCATTCCCTAACTGCACTATACAGCGTTTACCTTGTCGAACAGTGAACATTATTATGATTTAATGATATACGAGCTTCAGATCTTTTAGTAGCAAACATAAATTCTATTTTAAACATCCAAAAAACCATTTCAGAATGATAATCTCAAACTATAACGACCAATATAACTTAGATACCAGTTCGGTGAACTACTAGATTAGAATCAGAATTCTCTCAAATAACCGATATAATTGATAACATGAAAATAATAACTATAAAACTTCCAGCTGTAAAAGTTCCAGTTGTTTAATGTTTGATTCCAGGTTTGAATAACTTTAAGAAATATTGAAAATATATCTAATGTATATTTCATTTGCCAGACAATGATGCGATGAATAAGGTTGCATCTAAGTATTACGGTTACGTTAAACTTTAGTAGACGTGGAAGTTGCAAAATCGTGTGAAATCGTCCTATGTATAATTTATTCATATATGTTTGATAAATATATGCGTTTTTTTTACCAGTCGCGCACAACCTGCCGTATTAAATAATATATTAATATTATATATTAATGAAAAAAACTAAGGCTCTGTTTATAACATGTCAGTGGAGACAGAATTTGTCGAAAGTGAGATTGGGTGATATGGTAATATGTTAAACTAGGACGATAGCATGAAATATTTCGGTATCATGCTAGGCAAACGAGGAAGCTGATATACCTATAACCAAATAAGTCGTCCGTCACCTCTATATGGTTGTGTAGCATTTAGCAAAGCTTCAAACACTACTATTCGCCAGCTAGAAATTGCACAAAGTCAGGCTCTGAGAAGATTTTTCAAAGTACCATGGTACATTAGGACGAACGACATCCTCAGGAACCTCAAAATTGATCTCATCAAAAAATACATAATGGATAGAGCCCTGAAATTATTTGAAAAAACTGACAGACTTAACAACACTGCGTTATCAAATCTCAGAATGGTTACAGACTCCTCGGGGAGGTATGCAGATCTGAGGTCAATTATTGCTTAGTCTGATGAAGTGATAAATAATAATGCAGTCAAGGCGTAAAGATGGGTTTTGAAAATATCTCAAGTTAAGAAAGAGTAAAAGTGCTCAAGTGCACTAGCTAAAAGAGCTTCAACATAATAATTAACTGTAGTTTATAAATATCAGATTATTAAAAGCATCAAGTTGTCATCTTCAATACGTATATACCAAATACCTCTTCCTCTTCCAGAGCAGAGTATAACAACAATTTAAAGCGCCTTCACCAACTACGAAATCAAATGCGATACTTAGTTTTGCTATGATATAAAAGTAGCATATCTCACAGAGCCGATTAAGCCTTGATACATGTTTAAAAATTTAGGTTAGAAGCAATATGAAACCTCAATCCTATGAAAGATTAAAGGAAATGAATTTACACTTATAAAAAATGGTACTAAACTTATACACATTTTTGGACCATACCAATCAAAGGTCGCCTAGTACTGAAAATGACTCACAATATCGAAAAAGTATCCAGAATGATCTGAAAAGTTCACATAGTAACACTCTAGCAGCTGTTTACAAAATTCGACAATGAATCGATACAGTTTGGTAGAATTTATACGGTTGCGCAAAAGGAGAATTACACAATTTACGCTCCGGAATCCTATTACGTTTAAAATCGGAAGTTCTCGCAATATACCATCGATATTGCGAGAACTTCTCTTTCAGTTTGATCGCTTGCATATATAATATATAATATATAATCTTATATATATATTTCTTCTGTACGTGTGTTGACAGTGAACTCCTCCTAAACGGCTGAACCGATTTTGATGAAATTTTTTGTGTGTGTTCATGTGGATTCAAAGAAGGTTTAGATTCACAATTTGGCCCACTGGATAATGTCTTTTTAATTAATTTTTTATTTTTTGGTATCCATGTACATTTATATTAGAAATTTAAAATTTATTCATGCTTACTTTGATTTATTTCAAAAGTTTAAAATCTCTAAAATGAATCGTAAAACTGCCGTTGCATAGCTTAAATGCATTTAAATTCAGCAGTATAATTATAGGTGAGCCAATTTTTAATCTTAAGTTATGTGGTGGTATTCCTGGAGACTCCAGCGAATTCAAAAATTCAACAGGATAGCTGAACGATTCATTTTAGACTTTAAACTTTTTAAACAAATCAAAGTAAGCATGAATAACTTTCAAATGTCTAATATAAATGTATATGGATACCAAAAAACTGTATAATAATTTAAAAAACGTTATCCAGTAGACCAAATTGTGAATCTAAACCATCCTTGAATT